TCCAAGTGGAAATTGGCTTCGGCTCCGTACCAAGGGGCAAAGCTGTTTGGTGAGGCACTAACGCCATACCTGACAGAGAACAAGGACAAGCGCAAGGTCCTTAAACACATGCTTAAAAGGCAGGACAAGAGACCCGGCTCCTGGGGAAGGAAACAATCCTTTCGTACGGAAGCCAGGGTCAACTACTTTCAAAATTCCCAACCCTTCCAAGCTAGACAGGATAGGGAAAGACAGGGGGACAGACAGAACACAAGACATAGGCAAACACAGGGAAGACGGCCCTTTCGGGGGAACAACCGCCCCTTCCGCCGTACCAGATGACTCCCGCCCAGACCTTCCCATAGGGGGCAGACTAGCAGGGTTTGCTCCCCAGTGGGAAGAGACCACCACGGACGTATGGGTCAGGAACACCATACGTCATGGTCTATCTCTAGAATTTCTCTCAAAGCCCCCGAACCGCTTCCGCCCGTGCCCCTGTCCCACAAACCCAACAAAGAGAAGGCTCATGAACGAGGCCGTTCAGCACCTTCTAAACATACGGGCCGTAGAGCCGGTGCCTATGAACCAGAGAGACCAGGGGTTTTATTCTATCCTCTTCGTGGTCCCAAAACCCTCGGGGGGTTGGAGAGCCGTTTTGGATTTGAAAAGGCTAAATTTCTACATAAAATACCGCAAATTCAAAATGCAGACACTACGCTCCATCCTTGGAAGCGTAAGGAAAGGGGATTTTCTGGCATCGATCGACCTCACGGAGGCATACTTGCACATCCCTATCTCTCTGGCTCACCGCCGCTTTCTACGGTTTGCCTACAGGGGGCACCATTTTCAATACAGGGCACTTCCATTCGGCCTGTCATCAGCGCCCAGGGTGTTCACCAAGATTCTGGCGGTTCTGGCAGCACAACTAAGAAACGTACCAGTCAGAGTCCAGTGCTACCTGGACGATATTCTAATCCAGTCATCGTCCGCCCAGCAGTCTCGGGCGGACCTAAAGTTAGTGATAAAAATGCTGCAGGACCACGGCTTCTCGGTGAACTTTCCAAAGAGCCATCTAACCCCAACTACGAGAATACTCCACCTGGGAGCGGTCATAGACACAAAGGAATGCAAGGTGTACCTATCACAGGAACGCCTCAGCAGCATAAAGAAAGCCGTAAAACAGGTAAGCCGCGGTCAGTCAGTGACGCTGGTCTGTCTTTCCCAGCTGCTAGGGAAGATGATATCGACCATAGCAATAGTTCCTTGGGCAAGGCTGCACTCAAGAGAACTGCAATGGTTCATGCTCCCGTTTCAGAGACAACAAATCAGTGCATCCCGGAAGAGGGTAGGCATACCTCTGAGAGTACGACACTCCCTCAGGTGGTGGCTATCTCCAGCTCTCCTCAGGGGGTCCCCCTTCAGGGAACCAGACAGAGTAGTAGTCACAACAGATGCGAGCTTATTCGGCTGGGGAGGCCACTTGGGGACCAAGTGGACACAGGGCCGCTGGTCAGCGGTGGATCTCCGACACAACATAAACTGGCTCGAGCTGCGGGCTATTCACCTAGCGTTAAGGCATTTTCACAGCAGCATAAAAGGCAGGCACGTACTGGTCCTGACGGACAACGTGACAGCCAAGGCCCACATAAACCGTCAGGGGGGCACACACTCTCGCTCGCTCTCGGCCGAGGCCCTCCTACTGGGGGCCTGGGCGGAACAAAATCTGGCCTCCATAAAGGCCGACCACATATCGGGGGAGGCAAACATCCAAGCAGATCTGTTGAGCAGATCAACAATAGATCACTCGGAGTGGCAACTACACCCGAGGATCTTCAGGGAGGTCTGTCACCGCTTCGGGCTTCCCCAGGTGGACCTTTTTGCCTCTCCTTCCAATGCCCACCTAACTCGCTTCTTCTCCCGATTCCCATCCAAGGGAGCAGAGCAGACGGACGCGTTACGGAGCCCATGGCCAAGGGGGCTCCTGTACGCGTTTCCACCCTTACCTCTCCTTCCGGCGGTAGTACGCAAGATTCTGCGGGAAAGGGCCGAGGTAATCCTTGTGGCCCCTTATTGGCCAAGGAGACCTTGGTTCGCAGACTTGAGGAGTCTCTCCCGCACGAATCCATGGCGGATTCCTCCGGAGAGGATCTCCCTCAAGCAGGGGGAGATCTCCCACCCAGAGCCACAATGGCTACAACTAGCCGTCTGGCTCTTGAACGGTCAATTTTAGCCAAGGGGGCTTGCTCACAGGGTGTAATTAGGGTCATACAGGCATCAAGGCGCCCCTCCACGAACCGTATCTACGAGGCCACGTGGAGAAGCTTCCAATCATGGTGCTCTAAACAGGAATTGTTACTCGAAGGGATCACAATTCCCAAGATCCTAGAATTTTTACTAGATGGCCTAGAGAGGGACCTCTCGCCAAACACACTGCGCAGGCAAATCGCCGCCCTCTCAACTATACTTTCTGCCAGCCCCGGTGAATCCTTGGGCAAGCATCCCTTAATACGATCCTTCCTCAAGGGGGCTGCAAACATCAGACCGCCAACCGTGCACAGGTATCCATCGTGGGAACTACCACGAGTACTACAAGCTCTTACCAGAGCGCCCTTCGAACCACTCAAAACATGTGACATTCGCTATCTGACCCATAAGGTAGCATTCTTGGTAGCCATCACGTCAGCTCGGCGGATATCCGAGTTAGCTTCTCTCTCAATGAGGAAGGACCTGTGCCATTTTCACAGGGACAAGGTAGTCCTAAGAATAGACCCTTCATTCATTCCAAAGGTCAACTCCCTTTTTCACAGATCACAGGAAATAGTCCTACCAGACTTCTGTCCAAACCCAGCTCATCCCCTGGAACAACAATGGCACACCTTGGACGTACGCAGGGCACTAAGACATTACATTTCACGCACAGCGGAATTCCGACGCTCGGAAGCGCTTTTCATATCCTTCCACCCTGCTACTAGGGGCCGGAAGGTCTCGTCCTCTACCATCGGTAGGTGGATTAGGGCATGCATCACGGGGGCATACCAGGCGGAGTCCTTGCAAGTCCCCAAGCATATCACAGCCCATTCCACAAGGAGTGCTGCCACCTCAGCAGCATGGGCCATGCAGGCTTCTATTGAAGAGGTATGCAGGGCAGCCACTTGGGCCTCGCCCTCTCCATTCATTCGTCATTACAAAATCGACAGGTACTCCTCTGCAGAGGCCTCCTTCGGTAGGAGGGTTCTCCAGCAGGTGCTAGACCAAAGTTGCACACGGGACCAGTCTATTCCCCAACCCAAGGGACAATAGGCTTTGGTATGTCCCACTGCGTGGATTATCCATCTCCAGTGCTGGAGAAGGGGCGTTGACTTACCTGAACGCCTTTTCTCAGCACGGAGATGGATAATCCACACCCACCCTTATAGACTAGAATAATAGGGTATATTTAGTGGAGCCAAAACGTCTTACTGTCAGTCAATGGCTGCGCTCGAGTCAAGACTAAAGGATCATGGTCCATGACGGGGCGTGGCAACTTTGGCTGACTGATCTGATTGGCCAGGAATACAGTCTCAACCCACTGCGTGGATTATCCATCTCCGTGCTGAGAAAAGGCGTTCAGGTAATCTAGCATGTTTGGATTTTGCTTGGTCTGTGATGCAAATAATTTCCTGGTTGAAACTGTGGTTGAATTTGTCCATGTAAGATTGAGTTTTTGTCATATCTTCTGAAAGCTAATTGGTATTTATGGATACTTTCTGCTAGTTTTCTGCCTGTCTGTCCTATATAGGCTGTTGCAAATATTGCACTTTAAGTTGTAGATAACATCTGTTCCCCCACCCACCCCTTGGGCTTCTGGGTCTTTTGGCTAAGCTATTTTGGATGGCTTTAGTTGGTTTGTGTGCTACAGTGATGCTATGTAGTTTTGGCATTTTGTTGGTCGTTTCTGAGATGTTTTTGATTATGGAAGAGTTATCCTTTTCATAGGTTATACTGGTTGTACTATAGTGGATTGAACGGTCAGATTCTTTCGAATAAGGTTGTGTGGGTATCCATTTTGTTGGAAGATGTACAAATGGTCTGTTTCCTCTTTCTGGTGTTGTTGCTGAAATATGTGTTTGTCTGAATATAATTCCTATATAGCTCCTCTTGTGGGAGCTTGGGTGATAATTTTGTAGTGGAACATTTGGTTAATATAGGTTGCTTTCCAATAGATTTGAATTTCTAGTTTGCTGTTGCTTCCTCTGCTGATGAAGATATCCAGGAAAGATACTGTGAAGCAACATCTAGAAGTTACAACATTCATATATTTACAACCAAAATTATGAATCCAGTATGTAGGCAACACCTTATCATCATCAATAATAATAATAATGAACTAGAGAAGGCATATTAAGTAATCAACAACATCTTCGAAGGAATAACATTTACAAGGGAAGAAGAAAACAATGTATAACAATTATACTTGAATGCACTTACACTTATCCATTATATTCAGTATATCTGAATTTTAAAGCATTATATTTAAAATGGTTTTAGTAGTTTTATTTTAATCTATTTTTGTGCCATACTTCAATAAATATTTTTAAAAATGTATAATGGAATATTAAGTTATTTTTAGAAAGTAGTTTATGAAATCACATGTAGCATGTACAGTCTTAGAAGATATTCATGATCTCCTCACCCACATAGGGCATGTATCGTGTAATATTATTTTTGATGCAGCACTTTGTCAAGGTTGAGAAACACTGATTTAACATGTCTTACCTAAAAGTACAAATACTACAGATCACTACTATTGGTATCACATCATTAATATGTAAATGTATACAGATTGTAATTGGTGCACATTAATTGATAGAAATACATGTGATTAAGGTTTCATCAAACTATGACTACTTTGCAATATGCATTTTAATTTCAGTTGGCCCCAAATCTATATGCAAAGTGTTTGAAGTACAAAATATTTTATTAGACTTAAGTTGATAAAATGACACTTAACATGGAATGACCCAAATGAATTTTGTTCACAGGGATATCAAACCAGATAATATCCTGATGGATGTTAATGGACATATTCGGTTAGCGGATTTTGGCTCTTGTCTGAAGCTGATGGAAGATGGAACGGTAAATTAGGTTTTTTTAAAATAAACCCGGTTAAAATGTAGTTCAGTCATCTTTAATATCTGATACTTGTTAACCAATTCAATTTTGGGATTATATTTGATGATAAAGAAACATTGGCTGCAAAATTATTCTTTTTGAGCAATTGTGTTGGACCTATAATAGAAACCCATTTTAATTCTTCTGGCTGTATATATATTATAAGATTCATTCACTTTGCACTCCTTTTATATATCTTACTTTACCATCATTGTCCATACATATTTAATAATTCCCATTATCTGTTGACTCTTCCATTTTTGATATATTTATATAGTTCTATATTGTAATATCTACTGTAAGTTTTGAGTGATATCTTTATTTGTTCTGTCTTAATGATCTATTTCACCATAGAATTTAGGTTCTGAGTGCAAAATTTAGATGCTTTTATTGTAGAACTAACAAAAAAGATATAATACTTGATAATGAAGGAGGATATGGAAGTTATAACAGTTATAAGTCTGGAAATGAGGAATTAAGATTCACAGAAAGGAAGACAAAGTATCCTTTTTAGTCAATTGCCTGACATGTTATTCAAGTTGTTAGGGGACCATTATAGTTGGAAATTAATCACACGAGAATTGGTGCGACATTAATATCGACATTAATGTCAATATGCCAAGTATAACAGAATAAAATAAGTTTGGAAGTTGATCAAAAAACTGATTCTGCTCCAGCTCTTTTAATTTGTATTCTCCTGTTCTATAGCCACTGTTGTAACCATGATATTTTGACTGCATTGCTCTCATTAAAATAAATGTGGAAATGGGAATGTAAACATTTCCTTTCTTCATTTGTGTAATGATTTTTTTTTTAAAAAAAGTACCTTATACTAGCCAGTTTTACAAAAATGTGTACTTTAAAACTGTTGTTTTATTTTTATGGTACATGTATAAAAGAGCCATTTAGAATTGTATCAGAGAATATAAACTTTACACTTGTCATATCATCCTGGAGAACTTTCATTCAGTTTCTTACATTCCTTTTCAATATTTTAGTATAGCATGGGTTGCAGAACAAAATGAACTCCTTATAGTTTTATGTCCTTAAACAACAAAGTTAGATATTGAAAAATACCTGCAGTCAGTTTTACTTTATGTATTTTGCTGTGAATGAATAGAACTTGATTTTTTTAAAAAAAAAGTATTTAGTAATAATGAACAAATATATCTATTCAGTTACTTCATAGCAATCTTTTGAATATTTCAGCATTTTAAAATATAAAAAGTTTCTAGTCCTACTTACGCCATCCTACTGACTCAAACCTGTAATTTTTCTTGGATTCTATCTCATGTAATGGTCTTCTCTGTAATTTGTGTTGTCTCACTATTTGAATGTTATCTGTACATTCTCTCCTGATCACTGGCCTTGAATATTGAATCTCAAGTTTTCTTTTTTTAAAAAAAAAAAGTATCAGAAACATGTGAAAAAATATCACAAATCCTGTTTGCATTGTAAAATACAGCTTAGTTTCTGTCATACTGTGATAAAATCCAGAGCCCACTTCTGCCTATTCATAGCTATTTTGTGTGTTCTAGTATTTCCTATCCATAACTCATAATTAGATTAAATATCTGGTTCTATATCACTTGCTATTATTCTTATTACTTTTTGTTTATTTCACTCCAAGTCCTGGCAAAATATTTTTAATTTTTGAAAAAGTGAAAATGTGCAGTTTGTTAATACAAACTTTAACTATTGGTACAACCTAAAAGAAATATATTAATGTAGAATTTTTCTTCACTGCAAGTTCAGAAACAAGATAACAGCTATAGCTAATAAATGCCAGATTGCTAATAGGATTTTTAATCTGTCATGGTGGAAAACATTCTTCTTTAATTCTATCTACTCACACCTATCACTGCTTTAAATATAAATGGATCTGTTCCTATACATATAAAAACAGAAACAGTGTTATGGGTAAAGTTTAATTCTGAAATAATAATCCCCACAGGTTCAGTCTTCAGTGGCAGTTGGAACACCAGATTATATCTCTCCAGAAATTCTGCAAGCCATGGAAGATGGGAAAGGAAAATATGGTCCTGAATGTGATTGGTGGTCCCTTGGTGTTTGCATGTATGAAATGCTGTATGGAGAAACACCTTTTTATGCTGAGTCTCTGGTGGAGACGTATGGAAAGATAATGAACCACAAAGTGAGTGAGCTATCCTTGTATGTAGAAATGAATGACAGTATCCAAGGAATCTAAAATTGTTTTGCTTAGTAATTCATTTATATTTATGTCTGCCTGTATTTAATATATTTTCTTTCAAAATGCATTTCTCATGGCAGCTCATGATAGAAAATAGTAAAAGGCACACCAGATTATGAAACATTTGTAAATTAATTCATTTTAAATGAATTAATATATTAATAGTTTTGCTTATTTCATTTACTTACTTATTGACTTGACTTTAAGTGCCCTAACATTTTTATTGATATTCTTGTTCGTTAATGAATAGATTTTTGGGTGAAATCTAATTAAACTGTTCTTCTGGTGAAACTGCCTCTGAAAATTGATCAGGTAGAGGGAATAGTGCCTTCTCCTGCTCCTGTACAAATTTCCATGTACCCAGAAGAATGACAAAATAAGGAAAAGATCATTAATGCAAATAAATATTGTTGTAAGGTTGAATTTCACCTTCTGAATTCTGTTTTTGGGTACAGCCTCCAAAATTGCAACCGTATGTTTCTTTTCATGTGACAAAAGCATAAATGATAACATTCATAGGCAGTATTCACATTAATTGTACTGAGTTAATTTAATTTGCCCTATTTCATCCTTTATCTGCCAACCAAAAGATAAATATGACTGCTGACCAGAAACAAGGATGTCTTCCTGTTAAAAGAAGTTCAGTTGCAACTAGACTGAATCTGTCAATTTTGATTTTTCTCAGTTTCTCATATTCCCAATTCTTAGTTTGTCACCACCTGGTTAATTAGTTTGCAAGTTTGTCCTTATCCAAAACAAATAAAATACCTCAAATTTTTACACATTTTCCTGCAAATTTCATTTAATATATGAAAGGTATATCCTTATTTATTTATGGTGTGTATCCTAGTATGTGTATTTTTTTCAAGACAGATACTGTATCTCTGGTATAAAATATTCTGTGTATACTTCCTCAAAACATATATTTTATGAATTCCTAGGTGCGTAACAAAATTCTAAAAACTCTAGATTTTAATATACAAGTATTGAAAATTTCTTACCAATTTGTGCTTATACTTCTGAATAAATTTATTATTGTAGAAGCTTCCTTGGAGAAAGTGGTAACTCACATTATGTGTCAATACATTTGTACTTGATAGATTTCTGATGGAAGATATAAATGTATGCATACAGAACTTATGGGTTTTTGCTTCTTGGGATTCGGCAGTTAGTTTATATTTTTTGGTAAAGTAGTTAGCGTTAGTTTATTAATTAGCATTCTCTTTTCCCTTTAAGGAGAGATTTCAGTTTCCTGTCCAAATGATAGATGTGTCTGAAAATGCCAAGGACCTAATTCGAAGGCTTATTTGCAGCAGAGAACATAGACTTGGGCAGAACGGAATAGAAGACTTTAAAAGCCACCCATTTTTTTCAGGGATTGATTGGGATAACATTCAGAACTGTGAAGCACCTTATATTCCTGAAGTCAGCAGTCCAACAGATACTTCAAATTTTGATGTAGATGATGACTGTTTAAAAAATTCTGTAAGTAATAGAGGAGAGTGTTTTTAATATGTTACATTGATATTTTTGTTATTTATGTATAAAATTTATACCTTACTTAAATAATACCCCAATCATTATTTAACATATGCAGCAAATAAGCTTACAAAAAATTATCAAAATTATGTCCACTGGGTCACAAAAAAATGGAAATTAATTTCTAAAATAAGCAAAAATGGCAATCAGAAACTCCCAAAAAGATAGGTTTTTTTATCCTACTTTTTATTGTTTTCTCATTTTCTGTACTTTTGGTGATGTAAACATTGTTGGAAATAAGAAGCATTGAACCAGAAACAGTTTTACCTTATCATAAATGACGAAGGAAGCCAGCAGTAGTTTTTCTGCAATGGTCTTTTCAAAACTCATATGTTCCAGAACAAACGGGTACTTTTTCTGAATCAGAATACACATTGTGCTAATTTTACTTGAAATTAATATCAATGGATTAACCTTCTCTAAATTAGTTAACTCTTCTTATTTTTTTAAATCTCAGGAGACAATGCCACCACCAACACATACTGCATTTTCTGGCCATCACCTGCCATTTATTGGATTTACATACACAAGTAGCTGGTGAGTGACCAGTTTCTTTATACTAAATCAAGGGTCCCCAATCCCCGGTTTGTGGACCGGCACCAGTCCGTGGCATGCTAGAAACTGATTCACGCAAACAAGCAAAGTTCCATCTGTGGGATTCAGGCAGCCCACGAAACTATGCCCCTTCCAGTCCACGAAAAAACCTCTTTCCACGGAACTAGTCCCTGGTGCCCAAAAGATTGGGGACCGCTGTACTAAACCATAATAGAATAGCTCAATTATTTCATAATTTAAAAATAAAATAGAGTTAATGTTCATATACACCTTTCCTTGCATTATTTGTTAATGTTTGTTTCTGTAATGGGTGCATTTTATATGAAAATTTTGAACCAGTAGTAGTAAAAAATTCATAGGACACATTGCTACATTCAATTTGCCAGCAAATTTGGAAAACTCAACAGTGGCCACAGGATTGGAAAAGGTCAGTTTACATTCCAATTCCAAAGAAAGGCAATGCCAAAGAATGTTCAAACTATCGCACCATTGCACTCATTTCACATGCTAGTAAAGTTATGCTTAAAATCCTACAAGCTAGACTCCAGCCAGTATGTGGATCGAGAACTACCAGAAGTACAGGCAGGATTTCGAAGAGGCAGAGGAACTAGAGATCAAATTGCCAACATACGCTGGATCATGGAGAAAGCTAGGGAGTTCCAGAAAAACATCTACTTCTGCTTCATTGACTATGCAAAAGCCTTTGATTGTGTGGATCACAACAAATTGTGGCAAGTTCTTAAAGAGATGGGAGTACCAGACCATCTCATTTGTCTCTTGAGAAACCTATATGTGGGTCAAGAAGCAACAGTGAGAACCAAACACGGAACCACTGATTGGTTCAAAATTGGAAAAGGAGTCCGGCAAGGCTGTATACTGTCGCCCTGCCTATTTAACTTATATGCAGAGCACATCATGAGAAAGGCAGGGCTAGATGAATCAAAAGTTGGAATTAAGATTGCCGGGAGAAATATCAACAACCTAAGATATGCAGATGATACCACTCTAATGGCAGAAAGTGAAGAGGAACTAAAGAGCCTCTTGATGCGGGTGAAGAAGGAGAGTGCAAAAGTTGGCTTGAAACTCAACATTAAGAAAACCAAAATCATGGCATCCGGCCCTCTCAATTCCTGGCAAATAGATGGGGAAGAAATGGAGGTAGTGACAGATTTTATTTTTCTGGGCTCCAAGATCACCTCAGATGGGGACTGCAGCCAAGAAATTAAAAGACGCTTGCTCCTGGGGAGGAAAGCTATGGCAAATCTAGACAGCATTCTAAAAAGCAGAGACATCACCCTGCCAACAAAAGTGCGTATAGTCCAGGCCATGGTTTTCCCAGTTGCAATGTATGGCTGTGAAAGTTGGACCATAAGAAAGGCTGAGCGCAAAAGAATTGAGGCCTTTGAACTATGGTGCTGGAGAAGACTCCTGCGAGTCCCTTGGACTGCAAGGCATTCAAACCGGTCAGTCCTAGAAGAGATCAACCCCGACTGCTCTTTAGAAGGCCAGATCCTGAAGTTGAAACTCAAATACTTTGGCCACCTAATGAGAAGGAAGGACTCACTGGAGAAGGGCCTAATGCTGGGAAAGATTGAGGGCAATAGAAGAAGGGGACGACAGAGAATGAGATGCTGGATGGAGTCACTGAAGCAGTAGGTGTGAATTTAAATGGACTCCAGAAGATGGTAGAGGACAGGAAGACCTGGAGGAACGTTGTCCATGGGGTCGCGATGGGTCGGACACGACTTCGCAATTAACAACAACAACAACATTGTTTCCATCCACGTAGTAATACAATAAGTGCAGATTGTATAATAAAACTACATACCAGACAAAATCCCTAATGTTAATCCAGTATATTTTTATGCCAGTTTTTATTGGTTGTTTCCTCTATCTATAATAATAAAAAAAGGTAAAGGAGTCCCTGCGGATTTTACTCCATTAATTATTGCTGACTATAGCAGTGCTCATCTCCGTTTCAAGGCCATTGAGCCAACGCTGTTCGAAGACATTTCCACAGTCATGTGGCCAGTATGATGTCATAGAGCACTTCCCACCGAAGTATTACCTATTTATCTACTTGCATTTCCATACTTTTGAACTGGGGCAGGAGCTGGGGCAAGGACGGGAGCTCATTCCATCATGTGGTGTTCAGGTCTTGAACCTGGACTGCCAGCTTTTCAGCTGACAAGTCCAATGTCTTAACCACTAGGCCATCATGCCGACCATCTAGAATAATAGGTGAATGTAAAATATTACAAGGGCAAAACTGCAAGGGATTTTTTTATGATTAGAGACAAATATAATTGTTGTTTTGCAGAATACGCAATTGGCTATTGAAAGGGCTGCCAGCTGATAGAATAGAGGACTTATACAGTTGGGCAAGTTTTATATAGTAGATCAGGAGTATCAAACTGGCAGCCTGTGGGCCGGATATGTCGCGTATAGGCCATGCCCACCCCGGCTCCACAAAGGCAAAAAATGTCATGATATGTCATGTGATGCAATCGAGTTTGACACCTGTGTAGTAGATCATTTCCTTGCCTACATTATCTAAGTATACACAATGCTGCTTAAAAGTTTGTGAATCTTTTTAAATTTTCAATATTTCTGCATAAATATGACTTAAAATATGATCTGTTCTCCATACAAATCCTAAAACTATATAAAACTATATAAAGAAAGCCCAATTAACCAAATGAGTCAAAATCTTTATACTTGTTAATTGATTTATTGAATGTGTGGCAAAATTATGTGAACATCTAGGATGATCAGTTCATTTGAAGGAAAAATTAGAATCAGGTATTTCAATCAATGGGAATCTAGTAATTAGGTGTGAGTGTGGAAGTCCTGCTTTGTTTAAAGAATTGAACTCAGGATATTCATTGTCAAAGCCTGAACTTCACAACACAGGTATGTGGAATTGTGTCATGATTTCTACAGATCTCCAAAAAGCAGTTGTTGACACTTATCAGGCTGGAAAAGATTATAAAACTATTTCCAAAGAATTTGGACTCCTCCTTCTCCAGTCCACTATCAGCAGATTTTGTACAGCTGGAGGCAGTTCAACACCGCTGAACTATAATACTATGGGAGGTCTCAAAGAATTTTAAGAGGAGTGATGTCTAAGGAACTAAAGGCCTTAAAAGCTAAAGAAATGAAATGGCCAAGACCAAGTTCTGATCTTAATTCTATAGAAATATAGGACAGGTAGGCAGTTCATGAGAGTAAACACATTAACATCCCTGAGTTGAAGCTTTTCTGTAAGGAGAAATGGGCTAAAATTCCTCCAGACTGATGTGCAGAATTGATCAACTGAAAACAAAGTTTCACATCCTTTTGCCACATAACTTTGAATCATTTCCCTCAATAAATCAATGAACAAGTACAATGTGTTTGGCTCATTTGTTTAATATTCGGTTCTGTTTATCTAGTTTTAGGACTCATATGGAGAGCAGATCATGTTTTAGGCCATATTTTTGCAGAAATATTGAAAATTCAAAAGGGTTCACAAACCTTTTAGCATCACTGCATAATCTGAGATATTTCAAGAGTATACCTAACTATGTGGGTAATTTTTAGTTATTTTTTTCTACTGACAGAGCTATTTCTTTGCTGGAATAGGGAGAGGTGACAAAACTATTCTCTTCCCTCCTTTTGAGTGTTGCCAGTTAAAATTGACTCTGGATATTAGGAAGATCATTAGATGTTAATTTGGAAGTTAATAAGAGGGAGGAGAGACAATGTGAGTGGATTTCATCAGAATGTTCAAGTGGATTTCTACTTGAATAATGTTGGATTTCAATTGCAATTTATGATGGCTTCATCAATATGTTTGCAAAAAACTGTACAGCAAAGAGACCTAACTGCTTCCAGTTTTCTGTTGGATTGTATATATAAACTTTTATTTATCCTAATATTAACTTTTAATTATCCTAATATGAAAGTCATAAAAATCAATCTGTTAAAATGTTCTGAATCTGATAACTATCTTTGCAGTGTCCTTTCGGATCGTAGTACTTTAAGATTTGCAGCTGGGCAACGTGTAATGGAACTTGATGCCAATGTTCAAAGAACACTAGAGGATACCTTAGCTACAGAAGCATATGAAAGACGAATAAGACGTTTAGAGCAAGAAAAGCTAGAACTTAGCAGAAAACTCCAAGGTATTGCTATATAACGTACACATGATTATCTATTTAAGTCAGTTTTGGATTCCATGACGTATGTGGTGGAAAGACCTTCTATTACTAAATTTTCAGTAGAAACAGTATTTGAAAAGATTTCTTATATAACTGAATATTAATTTACTGTGATATAGTCAGTGTCACAACTTAGGAATGATTTTGAATGAAAACAACATATTTTACAAGTAGAAATTACAAGAAATTAAATAATATTTTGATATTGCAAAGACAGTTGGACTATAGCCAAAGTATTATTAAGATATTTGCAGAAAGAAAAAAAGTAAAGTAAAAATAACAATGTATTGAGCAAAATTAAAACCATCAGGCCCAATTCATGGCTTACAACTTTAGAAAATGTGGAAAATTGTTATTGGAGGACAAGTGACCTCTAGGGCTTTATTAGGGTATTTTTTGGAGGATCACAGAATAAGTATGGAAGAGCCTGAAGAAACATATGAATGAGAGTATCTGAATGTTGAAATGAAAGATGTAAAAATAATTCAGAAACAAGAACCAAGTGAGACAATTAAAAGAAAAAAATTGGTGAGTAATGATGGTTAGACTGAATTTGAAATTAAGGATATACAGTGGGGCAAAAAAGTATTTAGTTAGCCACCAATTGTGCAAGTTCTCCCACTTAAAAAGATGAGAGAGGCCTGTAATTGTCATCATAGGTAGACCTCAACTATGAGAGACAAAATGAGAAAACAAATCCAGACAATCACATTGTCTGATTTGGAAAGAATTTATTTGCAAATTATGGTGGAAAATAAGTATTTGCTCACCTACAAACAAGCAAGATTTCTGGCTCTCACAGACCTGTAACTTCTTCTTTAAGAGGCTCCTCTGTCCTCCACTCTTTACCTGTATTAATGGCACCTGTTTGAACTTGTTATCAGTATAAAAGACACCTGTCCACAACCTCAAACAGTCACACTCCAAACTCCACTATGGTGAAGACCAAAGAGCTGTCGAAGGACACGAAAAACAAAATTGTAGACCTGCACCAGGCTGGGAAGACTGAATCTGCAATAGGCAAGCAGCTTGGTGTGAAGAAATCAACTGTGGGAGCAGTAATTAGAAAATAGAAGACATACAAGACCACTGATAATCTCCCTCGATCTGGGGCTCCACGCAAGATCTCACCCCGTGGGGTCAACATGATCACAAGAACGGTGAGCAAAAATCCCAGAACCAGATGGAGGGACCTAGTGAATGACCTGCAGAGAGCTGGGACCAACGTAACAAAGGCAACCATCAGTAACACACTACGCCGCCAGGGACTCAGATCCTGCAGTGCCAGACGTGTCCCCCTGCTTAAGCCAGTACATGTCCGGGCCCATTTGAAGTTTGCTAGAGAGCATTTGGATGATCCAGAAGAGGATTGGGAGAATGTCCGATGGTCAGATGAAACCAAAATAGAACTGTTTGGTAGAAACACTACTCGTCGTGTTTGGAGGAGAGAGAATGCTGAGTTGCATCCAAAGAACACCATACTTACTGTGAAGCATGGGGGTGGCAACATCATGCTTTGGGGCTGTTTCTCTACAAAGGGACCAGGACAACTGATCCGTGTACAGGAAAGAATGAATGGGGCCATGTATCGTGAGATTTTGAGTGCAAACCTCCTTCCATCAGCAAGGGCATTGAAGATGAAACATGGCTGGGTCTTTCAGCATGACAGTGATCCCAAACACACCGCCCGGGCAACAAAGTAGTGGCTTTGTAAGAAGCATTTCATGGTCCTGGAGTGGCCTAGCCAGTCTCCAGATCTCAACCCCATAGAAAACTTTTGGAGGGAGTTGAAAGTCCGTGTTGCCCAGCGACAGCCCCAAAACATCACTGCTCCAGAGGAGATCTGCATGGAAGAATGGGCCAACGTACCAGCAACAGTGTGTGCCAACCTTGTGAAGACTTAAAACAGAAAATGTTTGACCTCTGTCATTGCCAACAAAGGATATATAACAAAGTATTGAGATGAACTTTTGATATTGACCACATACTTATTTTCCACCACAATTTGCAAATAAATTTTTTCCAAATCAGACAATGTAATTGTCTGGATTTGTTTTCTCATTTTGTCTCTCATAGTTGAGGTCTACCTATGATGACAGTTACAGGCCTCTCATCTTTTTAAGTGGGAGAACTTGCACAATTGGTGGCTGACTAAATTCTTTTTTGCCCCACTGTAAAAATAGTTTAAGAACTAAAACTGATAGAGGGTGGAATTTCTATGCAAATGTGCATAAGGAGTTTTACATTGTATGTTAGACAAAAAGTTCAAAGGTTGGGTTTAATAAAAAAAAATCTGTAGATTTGTACTGAATACTTGCTTAGCCTTTCTTATGATTTGTAGAAAGAATCTAGCTTACACAACTTCCTTGAAGTTCTATTCATTTATTCCCTTAATGCAGTTTGACCGTTTTTTTAGACAGTTAAGAATGTAACAAAATAATTTTTTAGTTTCCATTGCTCTCCAAAGGGATACAGTATAAGAGGCTTCAACTTTTTCAGCATTCCCTTCTCTTGCCAGCAAATCACTTTTTTAAGATTAATTTAAACCATTTGGTTTTCTATGTTGAAATGCTGGTAAGCAGTGAGATTTCCCTCTATGATTGGGCAAATGATGGTATCCATTCAGGAAGATTTGCCCTCACTACCACCAGCGAGCAGTATGTGGCTGCAGTTAGTTGTTTTTCTACAATTTACCTAATAATTGGACAGTCATTACGAAAAGCAAATTCTGATTAAAAGTTAGAATGACCTCTACCCATCCACCATAGTAATAATAGCAACAGTGGAATCCATTATTTAGGTAGTGAGCAATTCTTCATTGGATATGCAAGCAGATACTATAAAGTCACCTGTCAATTATATTTTAATTTGGATTCTTGCTCTGAGGAAGGCTCAGTGTTTCAATGGATTAATTGACCCATTTATTCTGGCCTCCTCTCTAAGTAGCTCTTTAACAGTTATTATTTAAAACATTTATTTACATCATTTTACTTTCAACTTTCCAGATCCCCATTCTTTATTAAATGCTCTCTTCCCATGCTCAGTCCTCGTGGCAGACCAACTTGGTGGCAAATTCAAAATCAATTTTATAAACTCTAACATTTTACAGGGCAATTTTACCTTGTTCAAGGAAAGCTACAATATTAAACAGGCAAAGTAGTGTTGGTACACTTTTTTTAATAGCTGCTTCATAAAGTTTTTCCCAGTCAGAGTTTTCTGAGAAACAAATTATTTTGTAACTTTGTCTAGATGCAGAATACTTTAACAGTATAACAAATTTTACAGCTACTCTTACTAGCTTCATGTTTTAACTTGAGTGCATTGAACTTGAGGAAACTTCATGATGCTTGCTGTTCCAGGCAAGAATTTTGCACAATTGACTCCTCATATTCCAGATAGCAGTCTGCCAATGTGCTATACGTTTTTTTAGATGAAGGATACCTTTCTTGAGCTGGAGGCAAGATATTCTTTTAGTTAAATTACTCTGCTTTTTGTGTGGTCATACGATGCAATCTGTGAGAACTACTTTGAGAAGTATGTGCAAATAGTACCTATTTTACATTTAGCACAAAAGCCATTACTTAGTAAATTAACTAACATACTGTTTTTTAAAAATAGGATCAATTTAATAGCTTAAGATTCATTTTCTTACTGTTCTTGATCACTAGAAGAAAGTGAAGGTCAATTCCTTATAGTTAAGAAAGTTACAAATGTTCAAAAACTTTGGCATGACAGAAAGTTTTATAGAATCTTCAAATTAGGGTCCAGAAATTGTCAAGCCACAGATACTTCTTGGATACCATATTATTATTTTGAAATGCCAAAATCTATAGATTGAAAATGTTGAATGCAGTTTCTTACATCTCCCTTTGTTTTTGTTTTTTTTTAAGAGTCCACACAAACAGTCCAGGCCCTACATTATTCAACTGTAGATGGTCCATTAACAGCAAGCAAAGATTTAGAAATTAAAACCCTGAAAGAAGAAATTGAAACATTGAGAAAACAAGTCATTGGTAAGTACCAGTATTTAATATTGAAAACATTACAAGTTCTTTTCCAGCTTTTGTTTCTGCTCAAACATTTTTCTTCACAAATGTTTCTATTGTTATATTTATCATCCAATGTAAAATGTCGGCAGGTAACCCTTACTTATCAATAGCCTCATGCAGCGACTAAAGGTAAAATAGTGCTGAAAATATAACTTTGCAACCAAAGTACACACATGACTTTCATAGAAACTCTCAATCATGTGTTTGCCATTACAGTAAGTTAGTATATATTGACCTACGCCTGTCCCATTTTTTCTTTTTTTTCCCTTCACAGAGCCGAAAGATTACCTTAAAAAGTATCTCTTTAGATAATCTTTCCTATCTCATCTCTTTTTTTCTCCCTCCCCTCCACAGAAAAGAGAAATTGGAGGAAAAGGGATTACAAGAGAGTAAGTAGGCACAGAATGGGAATACACATTAAAACGCTATTTGCCAACCAGATAGTCTAAGATTAATTAGTTAATATCCGTTTTGCTAATTATCCTAATACTGGGTTGAGCATTCCATAGGCTGGAAGACCTTTTTTACATTCATCCTTAACAATTTATTCACTTTCATTCCTGTTCCCTATCAGTGAGGTTTAGGACTTCATTTTGGTAATTTGAAAACTGAGTTAGCAATGAAAAAATCATTGAAACGTATTACTATAAAGTGTTTTCTTGCTTCATTTCTACTTATAGGGCCATACAATGAAACTGCATTTTCCACTTTACTATTTCCAACTTTGGCATTCCATTCTCCAACCATCAAGCAGCACATCTTACTTGCATGTTCTGTTGATTTTATATCAAATTTGACCATTAAATTAGTCAACTTCATTTTCTTCTACATTAGTGGTTGGCACATAAATACTGATCTGAAGGCTGTCCTGCAAGGCCTAATTTATATGATTTGATAAACTGACTGCATTTACCTAAATAGATTGTACCTAAATACTGTTTTTCCTATGTAGCCTTCCTGATAATGAAAGCAGCACTACCCTTTTTGGTTTTTGTGACCTAAGTAGTAAGCAGTATGATCTTCTGACTGAAAATATCCAGTTTTAGTTCTTTTCAATTCAGTGATACGTAAGATATCAATATGTATTCAGTTCGTTTCATCTTTCCTGATGTTAAGCTTTTCCAAGTTCATCTTTTCACATTCCGTATTCCCACTGTATTTCAATTTTGGCAGCTCCAGATTTTCTTTCCTTGCATAGCAGTATCCAAGTTGTGTTATAAACCCCATTGTTGCTCAAAAGTACCTTCGTTCTTCCTCAGTAGCACATTAAGAACTTCTCAGTATAAGGGACCCATCATCAGCACTACATTGCAAGTCATTTTATCTTGTCTCTCAGTGTGATTTGCTTGATCAAATACAGGAGTGGTTTACCATTACCTTTCTCCCACGCAATATGAAATCATGTCTTTGCCATTTTTTCCAGAGTCCGTTGATGACAAATGGGTGGCATATAAATACAATAAACAAACAAACAAACAAACAGTAAAATGATCTTCTGTCTCTAGCATCTTTTTATGAGCCATGGTGGTGCAATGGTTAGAATGCAGTATTGCGGGCTAATTTTGCCAACTGCCAGGAGTTCGATTCTGACCGATTCAAGGTTGACACAGCCTTCCATCCTTCCGAGGTTGATAAAATGAGGACCCAGATTGTTGAGGGCAATATGCTGACACTGTAAACTGCTTAGGCAGGGCAGTAAAGCACTGTGAAGTGGTATATAAGTCTAAGTGCTATTGCTATCCAATATACGTGGTTACTATGTATCGGGGATAATTTTAATGCCTTGGGTGATCCTGCTTGGATACTTTTGGCATAGCCTCCAGCATTCTTACTGTCCCTATCAGGATAGTCCCCCTCAGTGCTTTTTTTGTAAAAAAAAAAAAAAAAAAGGTGCCGGAACTCACACACATCATACAACCTGCCTTGCCTACCCTACAAGGTTCCATCCAAAAAAGGTGCCGAAACTCTGTCCTGGGCGTTCTATGACAAAAAAGCCCTGGTCCCCTCCCCCTTATCACAATGATGTATCACTACAGGACTTGTGAGGCTTATTTTTTATATTTGAGCGTGGTTATGGTGAGTTCTTTGCTGAATTAATGTAATACCATTTAGATTCTGTGTTCAGATTAGTATTCCTATCTCAAAAATGGTATAGAAAGGGATAACCAAAATGAAGAAATGAGAGTGCCACTATTACTAGAATATGTCCAGGTTAGCAAATAAGATGATAGCAAGAGGATACGTTTAATTTGCTGTCCTGAATAAAAACGTGAAATGTATTGTTTGTTCTTTTTTTTCCTGCTATTATAAAAGTAAGGATTTTAGATGACATTGGAATTCACTAATGGCAAAAAGATTGATGAAAAATCTTATCACACAAGTCACTATAATAAGACATGTAATAGTTACTAGCTTTAAAGGAGATTTTATAAATCTATCAATAAATCTTAGTCACACTTACAAAGTAGAGTTTCTAATTCTTAATTCTGTTCCCTGTGATTTCCATATATGGAGTTTTGGTTTTCCATAATAGCATATCTAGAATATTTCAAGCCTAATATTTTGAGTGAGTCTCACCCAAATCTGTACAAAGAAGAAGCAAAAGAGCTGTCCCTGCACATTCCTCCATTATCTTTTAACCAAGTTCAAATTTAGATTCAAACCTCTAAAGTTTGGATTTCAAAACTCAAAAATAATATTTAAAACAATCAAATTAATTTAAAAGGCTTGGATGAAAAGAAAGATTAAGACTTCCCTTTTAACACAGAAAAAAATGAAGGTTAACTATACCTTCTAAGTAAGGGAATGCATTCCATATTTTGATCATAATGCCAGAAAAAGCCCTCTCTTGACAAATGAGCTTATAATGTCACAAGCATCTTTGAGATAGTTTCATAGCTTCTTATTCAGATATTCAGGCCCTGAGCTTTTAAGGGATTTGAAAATCAAAAACTAAGCCTTCAATTGTCCCTATATTAATTTATCAAAATTAATATAGTATGATCTTAGCATTTTTTGTGGCAGATAGCATCAGAACTCAGGAATATGGTAGTATCTTTCTTGACTAACAGATTTTAATAAGAGGAATAAGCTTTTGTGAACCTTTTATTAAGTTGCTAGTTAAAAAAACTTCTACAGATTTTTGATTTCTTAGTATCTGTAGTAGTGCCCAGAGCTATTTTCATTGTGCAGGCATTGCTAATGACAGAGTCAGTTTGGTATAGTGATTAAAGATACTAGCCTAGAAATTGTGAGTTCTTGGCCTGCCATAGAGACAAAGGCAGCTAGGTAACTTTAGGTCCTTTCTCTTAGCTCTATGAAGAAGGCAGTGGCAGACCACTTCCAAAAAAAGTTACCAAGAAAAGTGCATTAGACTTGTGCATGCAGTTGCCAACACTGACTGGAAGGCATAAAATCAATCTATCTTAGTGTGATCAGCTTAGCTGCTCCATTTTGCATGACAACGCTTTTAGGCATTCTTCAAGAGTAGTCTTACATAGACACTGTATACTAGTCTAACAGTGATTTAGCCAAGGCTTTGGTATTCATTGCCAGATCCAAATAGCTGTAGAAAAATTACAGTTGATGCACTGTAACAACTGTGGCATCAAGGAGCACTGCCAGACTACAGATCTATATTTTTAAGGAAAGGGTACACAATATCCGTTGCCATCATTAACTGAGAATTTGGGATTGTTAAGCAAATACTTGTCCCAATCCAAGTCATTCCAGGTTTGGTCCCTTTCAGTCCCGAGTAAAGTAAGAGACTGCCTCCAATTCCTCCCCCCCCCCCATTCGCCTCTCTTCCCCACATCTCTCCCTGCCCTATGGGGCAGCAAGCATTCCTAGAACTGCTTAGCTCAGTGTTTCCCAAACTTGACAATTTTAAGGCATGTGGACTTCAACTCCCAGAATTCCACAGCCAGCATTGCTGGCTGTGGAATTCTGGGAGTTGAAGTACACATGCCTTAAAATTGTCAAGTTTGGGAAACACTGGCTTAGCTCTAGGACTGCTTACCACACTCTGGAAAGCAGCAGCTGCCTGAGTCCAGTCCCAGCCACAGTCACCCTTGCCTGCCTGCATTCCAAAACATCTGCTCCTCTGCACTCTGCTGTCTGTAGACTGTAAGACTAAACATTTTGAAATGCAATTGAAATATTCCCCTATCTTTATGAACAGCACAGTAAAAAAAAAACCTAGAATTTTTCTATTTGAAATTTCAAAGTTCTAGCTTCTGCTATCTTATTTCTTGTTCCGAAGAAAATGATCTCAGTCAGCACCTTGGCAATATGTCTGAAGCAAAAACAAATGGACACTTTAGGATAAATTAAGCTCAAGATATTGTACATAAGGAAAATGAATGGTATAAAATTATTCTGTGTGCTTTGTTTATTTCTTTTGAGTGACTAATAATTTGTTTTAAAAATAAAAGCTTGGGGAATAGATTCCTTTTGCAGTTTCAGAAATAATAAAATAAATATAATAAACAAATATTGCATTGAATTAGAGCTTTAATTATTTAATTTATCTTCCTTTAATTAAGAGTAATTAATGTCAACTGCATATAATAAGATGTGAACTATCAAATTTTATCCTAAGTAAGGCAACACTTCTGCTGATTTTAAGAACATGCACACAAAATACCAAGCACTCTTCAATTTAATTTGCTAAATTATAGACCAAAGCTTTTGGCTTAGACAATGTCTCACCTGACTGCTATGTGTAAATGTTATGCAATACGTTTTATTACATTTTTTTCTTAAGAGAAAATAATAGCATAGCCTGTATTACAACCTGTGGTTCTGAATTTCATGAAGATGAATATCATGAAATTAACAGTTGCATATAAGAATTTTGTGTTTACTTAGTCAAGGGTGCTTCTTAAAATCTGAATTCAAAGTTTATTTGTAGAGCTTTGAATGTTCTTCCTTATTTAGAATTAAGTTTACGAACATTAAGACTAAATATTGTGGGTTCTGTTGTTTTAACATGGTAATTGCAAAGGGCATATTTATTCCTGTTATGTTCTTTTCTATGTTAGGCTCAGTTATTATTTCTGTATGTTCAGCATGCTCATGTTTTCATGTCTGTCATGTTCCTCTGTGCCTATATTCTGAAGTCACAGAAATAAGTAAGATGGAAGCAAAACTGTACAACCAACCAAAACATTCAGATATCAACTTGATGTTGTATTTTTTTTTTAAAAAAAACAATACCCATGGATTGATATTGTACCAAAAATAATAAAGAAAATATTAAGAAAGCATAAAGGCCTCAATACGATTTCTTCTAGGTAGAAATATTTTATTTTTTCTGTTCAATTTTATTTCAGTATAGATGTTTGAAAATAGGAAATGAATTTCTCATTCTGCTGGGCATTTGTCACAGTTAATGTCACACTTTATAACCAAATGGATTCAGTATTAATGCTATTATGTTCTGTTCGGTCTATGGGCCCTTCAACAACTAGTACAGTGCTTATGTATAAATCCCTTTTGTCTTTTTAATTCAGACTATTCATATTACCATGTACACAAGACATATCAGAGAAATATGTCTCCCACTAGCATTACAATGGACTAACTAGGATATATTTATATTTTATCTTTACCGGCTTTGAACACTTAGGATCTGTAATTCTCTATCTAGGGAAGGTCATCTCATACCCTGTATTAATGACCTTCCATAAAATTTGGACATCCCCATTTAAAAAGTCCTTTGTTGAATAGGAAGTTACTATTTTGTTTAAATTAATCTATGGAGAAAGAAAATTGTGATCAACCTGGAGTTTTTAAATTATAATTTTATAATTATTTTTAACAATGCTAAGCTTCCTGTGGAGCAAATCTCACATCCGTAAAATAATACAAACGTGAAATCCCACCCTGACATTGGAGAGAATTCTCGGAGCTAGGAAGAGAAAATCTAAAATTAGCAAAATTGACCACAGACCCCACACTAATCCCTATCCTTAGTCTTGAGTTCATTTTACAGAAGACACAATTTGATGAAGAGATGAAGACAAGTTCGCTTACCTCTTATTTTAACTGGCAGAAAGTCCTGCTACCATGGTCAGCACTTCACACATACAAACTGACAAATAGTACTTAAACATTCAACTCTTCTGGGAAGTTGGAATGAATGATGGTCCTTTTTGTTGTCCAAAGTGAGCAGTAAGGCTTCTATTTTAATGTTTTATATTTCTCAGTAATTTTCTCTTATAGATTCTGGAAGATTAGAGCAACAACTTGAAGAGGCGAGTTCTGCACAGAGAGAATTAGAAGATGCTACCAGACACATAAAAAGTTATGAGAAGCAAATCAAAACACTAAAGCAAGAGCGGGATGATTTTAATAAGGTATAAACAATTTGATCAAGATTTTTACTTTTGTTTTACTTTTAGAATACTTCACTTTCAGATTTAATTATCTTAACATAGTAACGCAGCAAAATGATTAGGTCATATCATTTTATCTGCATTTGATAGTATTTCTGAAATGATTATTATTAAAAATAGTTATAAGTGTCACTACATGAGCAGTTCTGTATGATTGATTTCACATTTTAAAATACTTCAGGAGCTCACTGCTACGTTTATATAGAAAGCTTTCTTAGACTCAGGTAAAATTGTTAATTATGTGCCAGATCATGGAAGGACTGTCATTATACCAAAGTTTGCAAATAGTGACATAAATAACATTCAGACATCCTGTATTGTATGAATGTATTATATTGCACAGAGAGAAAGGATATTTGAATTTGATAATCTGAAAATTAACCTTGGAGGTTAAATTATCTAGTAAAAACCACCATGAAAATCTGTGATAATAGCATTTTAAAGTACAATCTACAATTCCATTATTGTGTGTGATTAATTGTAATAAATACTTAACTTAGTTCTATTATCTTAGAAGAAGAAAAACAGTCATCTATGTTTATGTCCATATTTAAATCAACTAAAGGTATTAGTTGCTAAATGTTGTTTGATAGAAGGTCACATAAAAGCTTGCTCACTAACAAGTAGCAACATGTATATGTTACTTTATCAGAACGCAAGGCTCTTTGACTTGCAGCACTCCTTAGTGCAGAATAAAAATTACTAGAATTGCTTTTTTTTCTGTATCAACATAATAACAGATAGTAAAAAATAAACTACACCCTTTGGTACCTTCTTCTTGGGGAAAAGATAAATCTGAACTTCATATAATATATGGAATTTTAGAGGCCTGTTGCTAATGGAATTCCTTATGACCATAAAATATTGATTGTGTTTTCATAGAAATTACTGTGTTAGTTTATTCTTAATTAAAACAGTGATCCAAGCAATGCTGTGGCTATCTTTTCTCAGCGCTTGGAGACCGTAGAGACCTAGATGAGGAATAACAGGCTTCAACTGAATCCTGGCAAGATGAAGTGGATGGGGATGCTGGGGTTCTCAGGATCTGGTTATTTATTATCTTTAGTTTTGGATGGGGATGCACTACCCAGACAGACCTGTGCACAGTCTGGGGGTTCTCCTTCAATTCCTGCTCAAAGAGTAGGTGGCAGTCATGGCTAGGGAGGTCATTGCGCAATTGATGTGTGTGCCTGTTGCACCCTTATCTGGATCCTGCACACAATCACTCATGCATTAGTCATCTCTCAGTTTGATTACTGCAATGCACTCTACATGGGACTGCCTTTGAAGAGTATCCAAAAGCTACAGCTGATGCAGAATGAAGTGGAGCATACAGTTCTACAGCCCGTACAGTGGCATATATAACACAACTGTTGCACAAGCTTCATTGGATACTACTTTTCTTTCGAGTCTAATTCAAGCTGTTGGTTATTACCTTTAAAGGCCCATGTGGCATGGATCTAGGGTATCTGAAGAGCCATCTCATCCCAATGGGATTAGTCTGCTCTGCTCTCACCATTGGAAGAGGCCTGCTACAGACTGTTAAGGAATTTTTGTGGGTGGGGACAAGAAGAGCCTTTTCCACTCTGGCCCCAACACTATGGAACACTCTATCACTAGACGTGAGAATTACTCCCTTTTAGCCTTCCAGAAGGGTATTAAAACTTTCCAGGGGAATACTCACTGCTGGAGGTGGTTTATGAGGTAAGAAGATCTTATCCCCATGCCATTCACGTCCTTAGTTCTGTTTTTTAGCCAGTTTTAACGTTTTAATATGTGTAGCTTTAAATTTTTAATTGCTTTTCTATTTATCTTTTTTTGTTTTATAAACTATCCAGAGACACCCTATTGGGGAGGTGGGCAGCATATACCGGTAAATTTAATAAATAAATAAGATATACTTATATGTCTTACTTGTTTTAGCCCTATTTAGTGGTAGAAAGCTAATATTTAAGGGTATGTCACATTTTGTTTCTGATTGCAGGAACTGCTTGACTCCAGTGAGAGGTTAAAGGCACAAACCAAAGAACTGAAAGATGCACATAGCCAGCGGAAACTGGCCATGCAGGAATTCTCTGAGATGAATGAGCGACTTACTGAATTGCATTCACAAAAACAGAAGCTTACCCGCCAAGTTAGAGATAAAGAAGAAGAGATGGAAGTGGTGATGCAAAAGGCAGAAAGCTTGAAACAAGAACTACGTAGAACAGAGAGAATAAAGAAGGAAGTAAGTTTAATCTCTCTCTCATTTTTAGTGCACCAAAACTCACCACAGATTTACCTTAGGAATTCTATTACATGAGAAAGTTCACTTAAATAATTTAAATTCAAGTGTTTGTCTTTGAGTTAATTAAACAATGGTAATTTTAAATAATAGACTTTTTCTGCAATTCATTTTTAATCTTCTAAATATGCTTATTGACGTTATCGTTATGATAGAATTATATATGCAGATGAATCCAGAAGTTTCTGGTGCATTACTGAGGAAAAACATTGCTAAAAAGAATGTTTATGATTTTAAAATTATATTTGTAGCTGGAAGTTCATGCTGAAGCTGCAGCTGCTGAGGCATCCAAGGACAGGAAGCTACGTGAGAGAAGTGAGCAATATTCTAAGCAGCTGGAAAATGAATTAGAAGGACTAAAGGTTAGTCTTTATTGATTTCACCATTTTAAAGCATGCAACTGCCTTTGTCTGAAATAGGGGTAGGAGACTTGCAAGTTTGTGTATTATTATTTACAATAGCTTATTTCGAGATGATTTTAAATAAAAGCATACTAAAATGCATAGAAATCAATCATCCTTAATATAGCCTTTGTTCATGTAGATATCCATTAGATATGTAATTTTAAGGTATTTTAGTAATGTGTTTTCTATATATATACTACAAAAACTTTCATGTCTATAACTTTAACTGGGTGAAATGGTGCATCATAGAGCAAAACGTTTTGGACCAAGGTACTTCAAATGAGTTTACTTACAGAGTACATCCAAAATCGAGGATGCATGATGCCTGTGGAATTGAAATTTGGCAAATCTTATAAAGCAATTTATGACATAATATAAAATGTCATAAATCATTTCCTGTGGTCAAATTCTGATGTTTGACTGGGCTATCATGGGCTACTTTCCAGGCAAAATGTATCTGTGAATATCTCCCTGAATTTTTAAGAACTTTTCAAGTGCATTAGAAGCTTTGCCACTGTTTAAGGCATTGAAGAATGAGGATTCTGATAAGGAAATATCTCTGAAACAATGACCCAAGGATGATATTGCTTTTTTGTAGCAGAAGCAAATTGGTTGGTCTCCAGGGGTGAGTAGCACAGAACATCAACAAGAAATAACAAAATTAAAAGCTGACTTGGAAAAGAAAATTGTTTTTTATGAAGAAGAGCTGTCTAAACGAGAAGTAATACATTCTAATGAATTAAAAAATCTGAAGAAGGAATTCCGTGATGCAGAGATCCAACAACTTGCTCTCAAAAAAGAAATTCTGATATTGAAAGACAAATTAGAAAAGACAAGGAGAGAAAGGTATGACCATTCATGTACAATTCCTCTGTACTTGGATATTTTTTATGATTTTAAAAAAGTTGATACAACTGCAGATATTTATATTTGTATATCCAAATAATATTCTGGCCTAGAGTAACAAATTAATGTATTTCAGCCTTTGAAACAAAATTAATAGCAAATAAATAGATTCATTAGATTCACTATGACTTATCAGGATATATGTAAAGATTGTATCTTAAATGTGTTGGGTCTTTGCAACTGTATTTATACAATAAGGAATGTCTTTGCGTAGCCTCTTTTGAACTGTTTAACTTAAAAGATGAAGAGTAATGCACAATGATGGTAAATTACCTTGAAAGAGGAATTTACATATGCACTACATTCACTGTCCTAGATAGTTTATATATATCTGCCTCTGATTTTGATTGAATTCTGAGTGGATTTTCTTTATAAATAAAGGTCTGTCTCTATCCATAGTAGATTATGGTAAAATGGAGAGACACTGTTGGCTGAATGAAGGAGATAATTCTTTTTTTGTTTAAAGATTCTCCTGCACACTTCCGTGTTCCTGTCAGTAGGGGAACCCTCTGAGTGAAAGTGGAGATGTGAGCAGATGGTATTGGCAGAATAGAGTGGGCAACTATATTTATTCACCTATATTATTGATAAGGCAACAATAGCAAAATAAATATAAAAGCAAAAATTTAAAAACCATATAAAAAACTAGAACCAAGGAGATGGATGGCACAGGGATGAGAACTTCTGTTTTACCCCATCAACCACCTCTAGTGATCCCAAGCCAACTGGCAAAACCAAGTTTTTATATACTTCCAGAAGGCCAAGAAAGTGGGAGCAGTTCTAACCTCTGGTAGAAGAACAATCCACAGTTCCAGGGCCTCAGCAGAAAAGGCTCCTCTCCTTGTCCCCGCCTACTGAAATTCATGAGAAAGGTTCTTGCTTCTGCTGGACAAGTGGGGTGGGCTAGTCCCATTGGATTGAGAGAGCTCCTCAGATACCCCAGACCCATATCATATAAGGTTTTATCAGATACTCCTCTTTTTTGCCCAGCTGGAAGATTCTAACATAACTCCATTCTGATAATTATTTCTCTAGCAAAAACAAAGTATTTCCCAATTATCTGAATGTAGTCTTTATATGTGTAAATATTGGTAACAATTTCTTTTGTAGTAGATTTCATTAAAAATAGACATGTAAATATATTTATGATTGATGGTATCTATTCAAAGAAACAGGATATGGGCCACAAAATGTGCTTTATTATTTAAAGCACATTTAGATTATAGAATTAGAAGGGAACATTTAGGACCACCTACTCCATGGAGGAATTAGTATTAAATAATCCCTAGAGCTAGCTGTCTGGCCTTCACTTGAACATATCCAGAAAGGTAACATTCAGTTCCACTGCTGAATTACTCTTACTAACAGAATATATTTTCCTACTATTTGAACTACAATCTCTGTTCCTATAATTAATCTATATCTTGTACTCTGGGAGAACAGAGACGTGGTTTTGATTCTCTGTGCAACATCCTTTGAGATAATTGAATCCAATCTCAATAATCTTTATTCAAGATGAAATATCAGTCATTATACTTCTCAATAACTGCTATAGTTTTTCTGAATCTTTCCTAGAATGCACTGCACATTTTTGGACACAGTATTCTTTGCAACAAAACTTGACCTGTATAGAGGTTTTACGCCCAACTGTAGTAAATCTAAACTGGAACTATCTATAAGTTATTATTGTATCACCATGGGATGCTATTGGATCATGATTGCTAATTTACAGATATCAATTGTCCTGAAATTCAGCTGTGCAGGATAATTGTTATTATATAGTACTTGGTGCTTAATAAATCACTTCAATAAGCATTGAATACCGGACTTGAATGCTTGACTCTAACCAAATTCTGTCCCTTCTGAGTATTTCATGTTCTGTTTATCAAAGTTATAATTTTATAATTTATATTTTTATTTTTATTTAGAAAAGAAATGTCTTGGATTCTGTAAAGAGTCAAAAAGATGTTAAATAGTTAAAATAGTCAGGAAACACACTTGATAAAGTGACCAAAACAGATAATTTGTGAGAAATAAACATCAAATACCAATTATGACAGTACAGATTAATTGAAATGAATAGTATTGGAATTTCTTTTTCTATTTTTTTAAATTAAATATAAAATGAATAGTACATGAAGTTTATACCTCAATCTTGACATTGTTCTTGCAAAACATGTTATTTTAGCTTTATCTTTCTTCAGTTGTTTTTCTGTAGTTTATACTGATATCAAGACATATTAAAGAAGGCCTTGCTTTGAGAGATATTTTTAAAATATCTAGCAAAAATGCTGTAAAGAGAATGCTGATGAGTTTGTTAGAAAATAGGCAAAATGAAATATTTTAATGGCTATTAAAGGAATTAGCAAGATGACATTCTATTGTAAAAACATTTTTTGCAAAATGGCAACTCAAAAAGATATGTACCACGTTATTTTGTTGCATTTTGATAAAATATCAGAAGTATATACTTAATTGCAAATTTATGATACTGAGAGTCTCATTGTGGGCACCCTTATTTAACAGAACTATTCTAAACTAATTGTGTGCAGAACTGCAGCATGTATTCCACTGCCCTGATTTTTTATTTGTATCTTCCGCTATTTTTTAGACCAAAGGTGCTGAAATAGAGAAGAAAATTGTATCAGGATTGAAGCTTGAAAGCATATCTATGTTGCACCTAAAATTAATTTTCTTCTGTTAACACTTGAACCACCAAATAATGAATTCAGATTTTTCCTTTGTACTATTCTGAAGCAGTTTCATTTCTTTCTATCTTCAATTGTAGTGTTCAACATCAGATCTCTAAATTTGTCGTCAGAGTTGTTTACATAAAGTTCCACATCACATCTTTTGCATTTTGCAAAATAAAAGCAATTTTAAAAAATACTTCTAGAAAATTTGTGCTAAACACAAATATCAAAATAAAGATGTAATCATATGCTTAATTTGAAGAATGGTGAACTGTTGTCTGAGAAGTTAGCCTTAAACCCCAGTCTGAGGCATAGCTGTGTGACCCATTATCCATCCCCCTGAGAGTTAATGCCTTAATCTGTGTTGGCTTTACCCCAGAATGTTCATCATATGCATGGAATCTGTTAGTTGAAGAGAGGAGTGGATGGTGTTAGATTACAGCTTCAGAGTTTGAACAGCACTTATTAATATGCAACACTTTTGGAATGAAGCGTTGTGTTTCAAAAGATGCCTAGCAACATGCCAATTCACAACTGGTTCGGATATGCTGTGTTGTATGTTAAAGTCTGGCTGAAAAAAATAATAATTTGAAGGCAGGGTATTTTGTTCCCTTTCTCTATATTTTATTCTCATAGTTAAACTGATAAAATTTCTGAGTATCTTTGGAGAACGATTATAAATTCTGTCCTATAGACGTGCCAAAAGCATAATTATAGGGATTGTTTAAGCAGGATAGGTTAAACAATTTTATTTTCTCAGCTAGCTTTCCCTATTGTCTTCAGTTCTTGCTAAGCAAAGATATATAAAAATTATAGCTCATATAGCACAGTTATAGCTAGTAAATAGCTACATACTGTAATAGGCAGGAACTAGAGGCAGGGCTTTTTTTGTCTTGTTTAAGACAATTAGGGTTAAACAATTTAACCATGGGGTGGGAAGGAAAATCCACAATATTTCATCTTTGTTTCATGTATTTATTGAGGACTATTTATTAGAGCAAGAATATCATTCTTCTTGTGCTATTTTAATGTAATACCTATGAGGGTTTTTTTAAGGATTTGTGATTGTTATTATAAGAGTCTAATACGCTCCACTTCAAATAAAAATATACTAGATGGATATCCAGGTACAACAAAATGATATCTATTTTATTCCAGAATTGCCACAAAACAAGCTTAATAACTTTTTTGAGTTGTGTTTATCCATAGAAACTATGACATTGGCTTTTGACTTTGTTTTATGGAGTAGAACCATGGAATAAATTTTGTTCCATAAAAAATTAGCCAGAAAGATGCAGTTATGGCTTGATCCCAGTTATAACTGTTACTATATCTCAAGTTAGGTGCCCAGTGGAATGACTTTCTGGACTGTAGGGGAAGTTGTCAGTTCAGCTTTTTATTTATAAACTTTTGATACATGTGATTCATTTTTCCACAATAAAACAAAACAAATTCTATCAGGTAAAGGTTGAAAGCAAGTAGTGATCTGAAGCTGTTTTTATGGTAAGGAAATGCAATCTACAATATAGTTTATCTTTTCAAATATCACATTATGATGTGAAAAATGCAAAAAGAACAGTTTTCTCCTAAAGTGAAATAGCTTCTGTAATTTTTCATTTTAGTATATTGCCAAGAATATAGTTGAAGTGCATTAAAAAGAAGAGTGACTTGGATCCCACTGCCTCACTGATTTCTCACTTTTCAAAAGGATCTTCTAATCATCCTGTAAAATTTTTAGGAGAAGAAGAAGAAAGACAATTTTCATTCCATTTTTTAAATCTCAAAATTAACATTATTTATGCAGGTTGTTTAATACTGTTTAATACAGAATATACTCCAAACTATTGTACAGTTTTGAGACTTTTACAAAACCTTATGAGATACGATACTTCTCCCTCAACATACAGTTATTATTCAGCTGAAACATGAATGTAAGGAAATATGTTCACATTTCTTAGAAAAGTTGTCTGTTCCTCTCACTTTTAGGATTCTTTATTGCCTATAAAATGTTACTTATCCTGAAATTTAGGAATGTTCATATTAAAGAAGATTGCTTAATGATAAATGAGAATTTGGATGTTTGAAGAGTTTTGTTATAATTAAACCAACTTTATTAACCTAATGACAATCAGTATGCATCATGCTTTTCAGATTTTGAAAACCATATATGGCAATTATTTCTTTTATACTGACTAGGAGTTTGAAAATGCAGTGTTATAAAAATGAGTAAGCATACTGAATCAGAACACTTATTCTGAACTGTGACTGTTTGAATTCATAGACTATATATTATAATAGTGAAGCAGGAGGAATGTCATCCAGAATATCCATGCAATATAATTCTCTCTGAAATTAAAGGGCTTTGTTCAATGAAACCTAGACATATTTTGGATATAATGATGCATATTTCAAACAATCCATATGTTTAAAGAATTTATGAATTGGAACTGCAAACATCTGCTAACGTAAATTCTAATATTATATAGTGTTATTATAGAGCATATTGTATGGATTACCATGTTCCTTTTGGTCTTGGTTACTGTGGGATCTTAATATTTTTATGTATATTTTAAGTTGTGATGAAACATATATGAGGAAATTATACTTTATATATGATAATTGTGTTGCACATTTTACCATAGCCAAAATGAAAGGGAGGAGTTTGAAACAGAATTCAGATATAAATATGAACGGGAGAAGATTCTACTGACTGAAGAGAACAAGAAGCTTTCCAATGAGCTTGACAAGGTGAGTGATATATTGTTTAAATATACCGTAATGTATTGGGCAGAATTAGGTAAATTATTTATTTGTTTAGATTGATATATATTGTCATCAATCTTGCTAAGCATAAATCTAGGTAGCTAACAAAAATTTAAAATAATACTACAAAAAAGACAAAAAATATAAAATAGCTGCCAAAGAAACCATGCCACCAAGAAATATGGGCTCAACTACTCTCCTGATACATATGTCCAGAAAAACAAACAGCTCTTAGGAGTTTTCCAAAAGGCCAGCAGAATCAGACCAGCATATATTCTAATCTTGGATGGTATGGTATTCCAACGGTATGGTATTCCAAGGCGCTGTGATAAAAAAAAGCATACTTTCTGGGTCCCATTGGATGACATTTTCTACTCAATGGGACCTCCTGCCAGACTTGATGAGATTAGTAGAGTCAGTTGGAGAAAAGGCTTTATAAATAACACCCAATACCTTAAATTCTATCCAGAAGAGGTCAGTGAAGCAAAGGAGTAATGTAGTAGGATGAGCCACCACATTCTGAACCTTTTGCAATTTCCACATGTTCTTCAAGGACAGCAGCATGTAGAACTCATTTCAGTAATCAACTTAAGAGGAACCAAAACATGAGTTACAGTATACATTGCCTCTTGCTCCAGGAAAGATTACAAATGGTACACAGCAGAAGGTTTTACAAATGCCTTCCTAGCCACAGCTGCTGTCTGCTCCTCAAATAGGAGCCATGAATCCAGAAGAACACTCAAGTGGTATACTAGTTTTGCCTACTTATCCAAAATTAAAGATGGAAAGTTACCAGTTCCAGATAGCCCTAAAATCCCAAACCACTTAGTCTTAATCTTAGTCTGAGGACAATCAACCAGTGGAACAGCTTACCCCCAGAAATTGAGGAAGCTCCATCGTTGGAAGTTTTTAAAAGACTGGACAATCACCTGTCTGAGATGGTATAGATCCTCCTGCTTGAACAGGGGGCTGGACTAGAAGACCTCCAGGGTCCCTTCCAGCTGTATTCTATTCTATTGTTATTGGATGAGTTGAAGCCTATTCTTGCTGAAATAAATAAAAAGATATTCAGAATTTGCCTAAATGTTTTTAATGTTACAGTGTTATTTTTAGAGGCAGTTTATCAGTAATGACACTTTGGAAAATTTCAGAAGTTACAACTTTTTTTCGCAGAAAGACAATTGAAAAAAAAGAAAATACATCATAGATATATGTATCATGTAAGAAACTCCTGGGGCAATACATATGTGAGTGTAATTAGTGCCCCATTTAGATTTTTTAAATGTGTGATAAGCTCAGTAGAAAGCACTTTCAGATCACTATTGCAGAATCATAATTGTGACCATAATATTTTTAAAAAATATATTTAGCTTACAGCAATGTATGAAACACTAAGTATAAGTAACCGACAACTTGAAGAAGAGATGAGAGATCTTGCTGACAAAAAAGAATCTGTAGCACACTGGGAAGCCCAGATTACTGAGATCATCCAGTGGTAAGGACATTTTTCTGTTTGTGACTCATGCACTAAGGTACATTATTTTTGCATAACAAAAAATAATTTTGCAGTTTTGTTTTGAGTCTTCTGATAATCCCAACTCCTCTTAGAGGAGTATAAATCATGTCAGATAAAAGTTTTTGACCTTTCAAGAAGCCATAAGCCATAACTAAGAGAATTAATCTCGCTTCCTTATATTTCATTAGCTGTAGTAGTTTCATGCAGGAATATATAATAGAACAAAGGAGCTATTAAAAACCTTGAGCTGTTATTGTTCCTAATGCTAAAATATTTTAAGTGGATGAAACATGGTACAGTCACTTGTCACATTCCTCAAACTGAAACTAATAGCATAGAATGCAAACTGACTTTCCAGTAAAAATGTTTATATTTATTTATTTATTTATTTATTTATTTATGAGACTTATATACCGCTTTAAGTGCAAGCACTCTCTCACCAGTAAGCAATGTATATATATATTTACATTGCCCCCAACAATCTGGGTCCTCATTTTACCTACCCCGGAAGATGGAAGGCTGAGTCAACCTTGAGCCAGTGAGATTTGAACCGCTGACCTGCTGAACACAGTCAGCTAAAGTGGCCTGCAGTACTGCACTCTAACTGCTGCGCCACCTCGGCTCATATCATATCAAATAGACATCTCCCTGAGTGACAAGACCAAGAGTGAAAAACAGGGATGAATTCAGAATTGTTAATGGAAAAATACTTTTGCTGCAATCTGTTATCCCGTTGTTTTATATTTAGGTATAATTTTAACAAACGTTTCCACAAGTCATTTAACATTGATTAATGTTAACATCTTCTATCAGACTAACATATTTACTATTCATCTTGCCTGCTTTCATAGCAGCTATGTAATTTATTTTTTATTAAAAATAGACAGAGGTCTTTTAGAGAAATATTTAGCTCATCTGCATTTTTATTTGTAATGCAATTTTGCTGTCCTTATATAGAAGTAGTTCTCTTTCTCTCTTTCTCTCTCTCTCTCTCTCTCCCCATGTTTATTTTTACGGCCTGATTTATAAGCAAAAAATTAAAAAAAATCAAAGCTACATAATTTGAAATGTTTTTTTCAACTCCTCTGCTATAACTTTTGGCTACAAGAAAAAACTATAACATTGATATATAACATTGACAACTATATTTTACTGAGTCTCTCATTCATTCACTGGAACATAATATTATTGATGAAGATACATCTGCTGTCTAAAAAAGAAAATTGAAATATAATAGATACACCTTGGTTATTAAAAACTATTTAGGATAGTTTTAAAACTATTTAGGATAATGGCATTTCAGAACTCAGAACATAAAATTGTTTCCTCAAAACAACAGACATTCCAGAATGGAGAAGACAGACTTGGAGTTTGGAATGTTCCATTTCTCACCTGTGGATTTTTCTTTGATCACAGGAGACCCAACTATTCAATAGATTCATACCCTCATTCAGCTTAAGGCTCTCAGAGAGTCCCAACATTAATTCTTCCCCAGCTAACTAATCAGCCATTAACTATGCAGCAGAGAGTGTTAGCAGCAGGCTCACAAGAATGTGAAGAGGGAGAGAGAAGGAGAGGCATTGGTATCTTGAAACCAGGGATCTGATTGTTCCTTTCTTCTACTAATAACAGCAGGAAATAGCAATATTGCCTTCATCACATATTTCCCTAAAAGGACAACTGCACGCCCTAACCATTTTTCATTCTTTTTATATGCCAATTTATACTAGTTGATGCTATTGTTCTGGGATTAATACAAACATTGTTTTGGATTGGAGGGGGAAAAATGCATTTACTAGTTATCTGCATTTAGTAGCATTCCTGCATATGATATGGTACCCTTGGACACTTCAAATAAACAATGAAGATTCAATTTTCTCTGGGGATACTGCCTAATTCTTAAACCTTAAATTTACTTATATAATCTTCATTCAGAGTTCATTTCAATGTGAGCAATCTTATTTTTCTCCTACGTTCAGCTTTCATAATATATAAGCTATTCTGATCCCTCTCCACTTTTTAATATATTTTACTATTGCAAATACACAGAAATAGCGGGGGGAAACACATGGTCTGCTCTGCTACTAAAAACATTTGCATATTTAATTTGTAATATTTTTGTCTCTTCCAAAACAAAATGTTGAAACAAAACATATTATTCTAATATGCCACACTCTGATTCCTGAAGAGCAAGTCAACATTCCATGGACCCAAATTGTCAATTGCTGTTATTGTTATAATGATTTCCCTCCAATTTGGTAATTTCCCTCCAATTTGGTAACAACTCTAGTGTTGCTTTGACTTTTTCATTATTTTTTCATTTATTTTTTTATCCCAACACAGTAGTCATAAAATAACTCAAGAAATATTAAAAAATATATGTCACTGTAAAGTCATAGTAGATTTGCCTTATGCTATAGTTAGAATCAAATTAATGCAATTTTGTTATAAAATAATAGTGAAAAGCTATCATTATAAAGATGCACATTTTCCTCCAAATGTCAAAAATTATGTCAAATATTTACATATATTTCTGAATTTATCTGTCTTTATAAATAATATCAGCTACTGAAAAATGGTAGAAGCAATCCAGTGGTTATACTGAGCCAAGATTCCTGAATCAAAAGGGCTTCACATAAAACAATAACGTTATTTCACAATTTAATCACAATTTTAAAAAGTTATGATTCCTTTACCAACAGTTACTAAATATGTGCATATCTTGCATAAAGATGACAGTTAATTAGCCATCATGCAATAATTCTGAACAATTGATTTAGTTGTAATATGAAATAAAATCACAATTATGCATCTGACAAAGACTGTTTCAGAATTGAACTGAAGAATGAAGAATGCATTTATGTATGGAAAATGTGTCAATGATTAAGGATAAAGATGTACATATGTAAGATGATGCAGTTACATCTATTCAAGGGAATGTATTTATTATCTTGGCTGTGATTCTGGACATCTGCTTCCAGAGCTCCATTTGGAATATAGAATATTCAGATTCTATATGAAATTACCATATTGCAAGGTTTATTTGGTGGTTGCAAGTAATCCTGGAATCAACCTACATTGAGGGTCACACACTGGATCTATTTTTTGTTTTGGGGTAATTGATGTATAATTTGAGGGTACAAGACATTAACATCAGTCCCTGGCAAGATCTCTATCTGATTATTCTGAATCTTGCAGCCACTCCTTAGCTCCCTAATAGGGGCACATCCACTACAGTGGTCTGCTCTAGCTACTTTATGGATTTCATTGGTTTCCGACAGGTGCTTGGAGAGTTTCCCAGCAGGCTGCTTGGCAATTCTGCAGAGAAAGTAGTTAAGAATTAGCTGCTTGATAGGATTGCCACCCAATGACTTCTGACAGAATGCCAAAGCAGGTTTGCTTCTTGGTTTACTAGATCAAGTTCAGGTGTATATTGTGGCAGTAAGAACCATGTAGTAGCAATCCTTTTCTGCACTTACAGAATGCCTGAAGCAGGATTATGTTGATCCATTCCTTCTGTGATAAAATACTAAAGAAGCACAATATTTGTCTTCTGACATTTGTGCCACTTTGTCAGGTACTTTAAAGATGAAAATGATCCCTTTTACACAAAATTAATACTGAATGGACAAGCTGGCATCAGACAAGGCATCAAACAAATAGTTTTCAGTCTTTTCTTGAAAAATTCCAGCGATTGAGCACCCACAGCTCTGGGAGGCAAGTTTCCATTGCTTAATAGTTCTTAACTTCAGAAAATTTCTTCGTATTTCCAGGTTGGATTTCCCTCTGACAAGCTTCAGGTGCTATGGTAAATAAATTGACACTCTGCTCTCTTGAAGGTAGAAGTGTGGAAGACTGTCTCCACTCAGTTTGCTCTTTCTTAAACTAAACATTCCTACTTCATTCCTAGTTCAGTCATGACGAAACCGCGCCCACCCCATTGCCAGCAATGGGGAAAAATTTCCGATATGTCACATGACGTCATGAGTTTGACATATCTGCTTTAGCTGATCTTCATAGGATTTAGCCTCCAGATTTCTTATCATCTATGTTGCTCTTCTCTGCACTCTTTCTAGGACCTCAACATTGACAGAACTGGACTCAGTATTCCAAATATGGTCTTATCAGTGTGGTATAGATAATCACTTCCTATGATCTTGATGCTATCCCTCTTTTGGATGCATTTCTTGCTGACTCAGGCAATGGTCTTCCAGGACACCTAGATCCGTCTCATAGCTAGTACTGATGAGCCAAGTGGAGTGCAATGCTCAGTTGACAGCAGTAAACTTTTGTGAGGCCAATTAGGATTCATTTAAACCTGCTTCTCAAAAAGTCCTCTGTTAAATGAATCTAGTCACTAGTAAATTGTTTCTGAGGGATACGTGTGACCAGAAATATGGAAGATGGTAAACAGCTATTAAGGAGAGGGTGTTACTTCTAGCCTGGCAGAAGGCAGTTTTTCTTCCACTTAAGAAGCCATTGCTCATCCCAATTGCCTTTGAGCAGTTTGTCTTTAATTTAGATCTCTCAACAGTATTCAATACTCTCAGGCATTTTTTTTAACTTATTTAGCAAATTTAGCCACCCAGAGTCCAAATATAGCCCTTAGCTTTTCTAAAATTTTTGTCTGTTCATTGTTTGTTCAGGGTGAGTGATGAAAAAGATGCCCGAGGTTATCTTCAAGCCTTAGCTTCCAAAATGACTGAAGAACTTGAAGCATTGAAGAGCTCCAGCTTGGGTGCAAGGGCAACAGTAAGCTTTGAATTTTCTACATGATACTGGTTCTAATAATTTTCTATGCCATCAAATAAATGCTTACTATAAGCTGTATCAACTGTTGTACCAGTTTAGAACCAGTAGATTATATATCCAGGCACTTAACTTCTTATTCACTATGTAGTTTTCTAATTCAGAAATATCACTGAATACCTATATCATTATAAATTATGACAAGGTATAGCATGAAAATATTTGTAAACATATAGTTCAGATTTTTCTTTAACATAGGAATTTCACATGATTTCTCCCATTTTTTTTTAAATAACTACACCTATAGGAGAACTCCATCTTGCTTATGCCACTATTTGTGTTGTTATTGTTGCTATTAAAATTGTATCCCCTACCAAAAGCTGTTATTTGTAAACTTCATAGGAACTATACCTGGCAAACAGCACGGAAAAAATCTATGTAAATTACCCTTACAGTTCTGTTAGGTTTCCTCCTTGGTTTTTTTTTTTTTAATTCATGAAACTGTAATATGCCCTTAGCTGTCTCTGTAGAACAAGTACATAATTCATTAAATTTTTAAAAAATCCACTACAGAGTAATTATTAAATAATTATTAAATAAATTTGTGTGAGAGGATAAGAGTGACAGAATAATATTTTTCTCAGAAAATGAAATTTTCTGTAAACAAGTCTTTTAATGCTTAATGTAGTCTTTAGCAAAAATGTTTAATATTTACTCTTTATTTACTAATATTTACCAATAGGGAGACTATCATAATCTAAGTATTTTGCCAGTGAAGCCATACTTTTATTACTTAGATTAAAAAAGATAATGCTTTCACTGATTAAAGTGGAGTGGGAGATTGTTGGCTGATTCCTCCTTTCCCTTACACCCTTCTTGGAAAGCTCCAAAAATCTCAGTGTTCCTCCAGAGTCATAGAGGAGAAATGGTCAAAAAGCAAAGAAAACAAACTTCACCTTCTACCTCCCTTTCCTTCCACTGGATTTTGGTCCATTACATAAAGAATAAGTATCATATCAAAAAAAGGACAGCTCTGGATCCACCCCAATATCTAAAAAAGATATTACAATTTTTGCTGGAGTTTTAAATATTAAGGTATAATTAGGTTACATTATTAGCTAACAATATTTAAAAACATTTTCTTTGTAGGACATGCCTTGGAAGATGCGTCGCTTTGCGAAACTAGATATGTCTGCAAGGTTAGAGCTACAGTCAGCCCTTGATGCAGAAATACGAGCCAAGCAAGCCATTCAGGAAGAGTTAAATAAAATTAAAGCTTGTAACATTGCAACAGAATGGTAAGATTTAGTGATTCCTTTTAAGGCTTTAAGGCAGCTTGTGATATTTTCTGTTGAGAGTCATCCTGATTAATTCTACATTGTATTTGCTTTCAAAAACTGAATATAATGGTTTGATGGCCTGCCACAAAACTCTCAATTTTCTGTGTATAATTTGCAATTTATTTGATAATTGTTTCCTGAAAACAATTGAAAGATTTTAATACATGTCATCTTTTACAGCCTTAATAAGATTAACATACAATATTCCTATGACATTCCTATTAGAATACCTAATGAATTCTAAGAATTGCTTTTTAACTGTGGCCTTTCAATTTCTTGTACTGAATTAGGAAATTCTTCATTCAAGATTCCCGTTTAGAAGTAGTTACTATAAAATTATCTGTCCTTGGTCAGAAACAATATAAAATCTTTCCCTTCCTTCCTTCCTTCCTTCCTTCCTTCCTTCCTTCCTTCCTTCCTTCCTTCCTTCCTTCCTTCCTTTTATTCATCCATTTATTTATTCATAATTTTCACAAGAAAATTATTATATGGCCATCCAACACAGTAATTTCAGCAACTTACAAAAATAAAACATCAAATGCAAAACGTAATGAACCTCTACCATTTAAAACAAAAGAAATATTAGTTGTATTAGAAAGCAGTTGTAATGATAAAAATTCTCCATAGTTTTTTCTACAATAAATCATGCTAATAACATTCTCTGATGTTAGAATGCAGTTTGATAATACTGCTTTTATATGATGAAAAAATTCTGTATACAACTTATAGTATATCATTATATAGAAGATCATAGTTTAAAATCTTGATTCATTAGAATGATATTTGTGTATGTTAAAAAATGTTAAAATAAGTTCAAGAATAGGTATGTAAGCGTCCAGTACAAACCACAATTAGAAAAAAAAGGCAAAACTTACTTCACAGTGTAATAGATCAAATCCCAGTCTTTTGAATAAGGGTCCTGACGAAACAAAAATAATAAGTCACGTTTCGTCTTTTGGTCTGGTGCCCCGCACTGGCAGTGTAATGACTTTGATATCACCTTGGCTTTTGCAAGGTTGCCAGCCATGTACTTTTTTATTAAGAAGATTAATAATTTACAAATATAGTTCTGGGGTCTCAAAGATGTCCTTAGAACATAAAAGTGTGAGTTTTTGTATTTCATATAAAAATGCAAAGGGAAAAAAATGGCAAGGGTCAGTTGGTGAGTTAGAGAGTGGGCATCTAGGCAATTGGAGGTTTGCACTATGGCAATCATTTTATGATCATTCACAGCACATAAGTCTTCCCTCTATTCTGCCTGCTTGTTAGGAGTTATCATGGAACTATCACAATCCAAATCAATTACCGTATATGCCACCGTATTAGGCGACCCGGCATATAAGACGACCCCCGTCTTTATAGCCGGGCCGCATTCCTAGAATGTCGTCTTATACGCCGGAAACTACCAGTATTTCCGGCGTATAAGACGACTCGGCGTATAAGACGACCCCCGTCTTTGGCGCCGATTTCAGCGGTCGCGGAAGTTGTCTTATACGCCGGCATTTACGGTAGTGATTATTTTAAACTAATCATAAAATCATCTTGTTCCATTGGGTGCTTATAAAGCAAAATCACAAGTCAAACAGAAGTCATTTTCTCTTTCAAGTTTACTTATTGAAATCGAATGCTTTTATCCAGACGTAAGTGGGATTTCCCTAATTGAAGGACACTGCAAACAATTTTCAAACATAACCACATATCATGGTCCTTACTAACTGGGTGTCTCTCTTTTTGTTTTGTTTGTGTAAAGCAAATTACAGGAATCTGAAAAGAAGAACTCCGAGCTGTTATCAGAAATAGACAGACTGAAAAAAGAGGCAGAAGAACTTCAGTCAGAAAAGGGTACGGGAACTGACATCTAAATAAAGCTGACTGGTGGTGGGTACATCTTATCAAATCAGAATGTCCACTTACAGAGTGCTGACAGAATCTGGATTTTGAAGATTCTGACTCTTGAAGTGTCATCATAACCCTGGCATGATAAGATGTACCCACACAGCTGTTACACAGCTGTTTTTCAGATCGTATTTTTGTTTGTGCATTTATAGTCACCATATACTCACTAGGAACATGAAATAGCTTGTGAGTTTATCTTCTTAAGAGAAGATGACTCTTAATGTATTCTTCACTTGTCAAGTACTACTCAGACATCAGGATCAGAAAGAACATATATAAAATGTATAGTCTTTCGATCTTTTGATCACTGTAAGCAAGAATCCATGTGCTCAATTAAGACTTATGAGTTCTCTGAAGTAAACCTTTTACAGGACGTTATATACTAATAATTGGATTAATATACTTGAAAATGTTGGTTGATTTTACTATTTATTCTAAGGAAGAGAACTTCATACATACACACACACACGCGCACACACCAGTATTTTCTTCATCTGATGTCTCTTGCGAAGAAACAGCTAAGAAAGCAACTATAGAGCAGTATCTTAGAATGTGAGAAGGCCTGGAAATGGACCACTAAATGTGATAGAATCTATATCTGTTTATAAAAACCCCACATTTCAGTGTGTGAATGGAAACTAAGTGTACCTTAGTGCATCAGGGATGAAGATTTGAAAGTACCATAGTATTATATTAGCACTGATTAGGCAAGGTGAAAGAGTAGATATTAGAGCCAAATGCAAAGGATTGAGGATAGGATTTCCTATCTTTCTTTTTTGTGTTGTGTTATGAATATTGCTGGACAAAACAGATGTTGCTGGTTTGTTGGCTTGCTGCAAAACAATTTACATATCCCTGTTTACAGTAGTTTTTTCTTCAGAGATCTATACACTTGCCTTCAAGCAGACTTATATCAAAGGTTTTTATTTCAGAGCCATATGCACTTGAATTTTATTTTATTGTGTATCCTATTTGCTCCTTTGTTTTAATCTAAGCAGTGTTTTTCTCTTATGAACCTGGCCTTCCAGTAGATGGGAGGTAGATAGATAGAAATAGATTAGCACTTATTTCTGACTTCCAATAATTTATAATAGTAAAATGCATGTTAAAAACTCAAAATAATTTTCTGACATTCATTCATTCAGATTCAGGATTCCTTTCTTATTAAGTAGGTATCTTTAGCCAGTTCTAACATACAATTTTAGAACAACCATAGAATTCCACATTTATAAGTCAGATGTGTAAGAAAGTCAATTCTGCAGCTCATATATTACAATAACACTCCTTTTAACAGTATTTAAACGTGAAAAATCATCCCTTTTGATGCCTTCTTATTGTTTTACACTTGATTTGGCTTATGGATCTTACATTAGTAATTAAACCCCCCACATCACATTAAACAATTGCCTTACTGCCCAAACCTTTTCACTTTTATATTTCAGCATCATCAAAGCATGCTTATTGTTCTTCATGGTGGTTTCATTTGGTTTATACCTACCAATCCAATAGGATGCTTATTCTACATAAAAAAGTGAAATGTCAAGTTTGCCTTGAACCTTCTGTGTTGAATACTGGGTGTAAAGTTGCCGAATGTGAGCCACCAAAATTGGAGTTGCTGCCAGTTGTGCAGCCGAGAATTGGTAACCATGTACTCAAGTTGGTGACACCAGATGGTTTATGATGCTTAGAAATCTCATACTAATATGTATCTTGTTGGACACATTTATTGTATGCAAATACTTGGCTGAAAAAAATTATATCAATACATGGTTGCCTAGAAGCATATTTTTTAAAGTTTTCTCAGTGGAGCAGAATAAGTGCTTTGTGATTAAGTTCCTTTTGCTGCAAGAAGGATCACATTAGTTTTAAACAGAAAATAATAATTCAACAGTCTCTCTAAGTTCCTTCAATACAGTAGATAAAGTCTCCAAATTTGGGTTGACTCCTAATAGCTTTAGGAATACTGATGCTTTTTTCTTGTTAACAGTGCAAAAGTAGTTTGCCATTTCCTTTTTTCAGAGATGTTTTTTAACTCTCAATCTAATCCAGTGGTGGCGAACCTATGGCACAGGTGCCAGAGGCGGCACTTGGAGCCCTCTCTGTGGGCACACGTGCTGTTGCCCCAGCCTTGCCTCCCCCCTGTGACCCCAGTAGCCCTCCTGGAGAAGAGTCATCCCCGAGCATGGCCCACACAGAGCAGTGCAGCCAAGGACATGGCAGCCAGGCAGCATAGACAAGACTCTGCCCTCATGCCCCATCACGCACAGTTGATGCGGCGGGACGTGGGCAAAGGGCGTGGCTGCCATGGCACTGCTGGGTGATCTGTGGTGGGCCCTAGAGGCGATGAGTGGTCCTGCGGGCAGGCGGGGTGGCGACGGAGCAGGGGCGGGCCAGTTTTTGGGTACTCTGTCTCTAAAAGGTTCGTCATCACTGATCTAATCTATAGTTTAGAGATTCCCTGATAGTATTATCAGGCTAACAAGATCAGCTAGGTTATATTGATTAATAGCAGGATTTTTGCTGGAGTTTTAATAGAGACACTCATTATTTCAGCAGCAAGCAAGTTTTTTTAATCTCTTTCATTTCTATTTTGAACACTGGGTATGAGGGAAACATACTAATGGCGCCAATATAGATAGGGGAACAGGGAACTATAAAAACTGAAAGGAAAAATTGCCTTAGATTACTTATGTGTCATAGTAGGTAAAGTAGGTAAAGATGATGTGCAATAAAATCAATTGTGACATAAAATTATAAGTCCAGTTTCTGATGTTTAAATTGGGGAGATTATATATAACAATTGATATCAAAGTTCAGCTGCTGGGAATAAGAATTTTGTTTTAAATCCTGAAAGGACTATCCCACCAAATGGTTCTCATGAAATTATCCTATTATCTTAAAGATTAAAGAGATGGAAATAGATAGGTTAACAAGACTGATTCTATAGGGACTTGAATACAAATCCTCCTAGAAAAAAAATTCATAACATCTTTTGGAAACAGTCTGATCTTAAGCAGAAAGCAACAACTCAAGAACAGCAATAAGTAGATCTGTATGTGGATGATCATTTTCTGTTGATTAAAATCATGCTGTTGTTTTCTAGGAGTGAAGCATCAAGACTCACAGAATTCTTTCTTGGCATTTTTGAATGCACCTACATCTGCTCTGGATCAGTTTGAAGTAAGTAATTTGGTTTATTTCTTTATATTTTGATGTTACAACAGGGTGAAGTTTAATGGTTGTTACTGCTTTGAAATCATAACTGTAGCTATTATGTTGCAAAAAAAAAAACCAAAATATTTTGATTCATAAGGAATATTATTTTCTGACATTGCCATGCTAGTTGTAAACAAGAGAATATTAAAAGTTTTTGTATGATGCTTTTAATGCAGATTTCCTGTGTCAACTTAAGCTGTATTTCAAATATAAGACAGAAGAGCTTTCTTTTTTGCCATTTTTAAATCTTGAAACATAATCCTAAAGTGAAATATCTAATATCTGTAATATTTTGGGAACTAGAATTAATCCTCAGCTAACAACCACTCTTTCAGCGAATGAGTCTGAACAAGTAGTATGATATGGACACTTGGCAACTGGCTCACACTCAATGACAGTTACAACGTTCCATGGTCAGCTGATTGCCATTTGTGACCTTCTCTGCAGTTTCCCACAAGAAAAGTCAATAGGGAAGCTGACAGAGAAGGTCCCAAGTTACTTGGATAAGTCTCCCACACCTGACAGTAGCTACCTGAAGCCTTGCAGTGCTTGCACCAAGCCACACCAGGGTCTTGTGCACCCTGGGGTGCTCTTTTGCACCTAGCAGTAACCATCGGTATTTATCTCCGGATACAGTTCCATTCATGGATATAGTATAACAAAGTTATTAAATATTTCTGAAGTAGAGAAAAGAAAGAGTTATATATTATGGAACTAGGACAGAGATGGATTGTAGCCTTCAAGAGGGAGGAAGATGATAATAGTAGGAAGGTAAAGCCTAAGGAAAAGTCACTTAGAAGCAAGAATTCACTGGAGAAGCAAGTTGACACTGATGTATTTCCAGTTAAATGTAGCTTATCTATCAATACATTTACTGCTTGGATATTGTTTGGATATTAAAACATGCTATCACAAAATCATGACAATAAATTTTACATTCCTATTACAGGTAATTCTCAATTTACAACTGGTCATTAAAGGATATTCAGAGTTATGATGGTCTTGGAACAGGTGCTTTACAACCTGTAAAGCATGTCACAGCCCCCATAATTATATGACTGCATTTGGGGCACTTGGCATCCACTTTGACTTTGTCACCAGTTTCTGGCAAAAACTGTGGTTCACTTAATGACTACAGTGATTCACTTAATGACCACTGCAAACAATCTCAAAAATATGGGTCCAGTCATATGACTGCTATGACTTACAACCAGATTTCCAATTCCAGTTGTGATTGTAAGCTGGGGACTACCTATAATGATTATTTTGTTACCTAGTAATTGTATGGCCCCTGGTTCTGATTTTAGCGTGAGTGAAAAAATATTCATTATTTGTGGGATATAATTAATTAACAAAACTATGCAGAAGTTATGCTAAACAAAATAATCTGTTAGTCATTTCCAGTTTTTCTTTATTTGATTTCTCAATAGTATGGTGATACGGTTGTTTTTGCAAAACAGACATTTTCATCTATCTATTTCTGTTTCTTTACTGCTGTATGCATTAAAATAGGATTCCTTTTCTTCTTCATCATCTTCTTCATTGATTGATTTTATGGATGACGTAAGTCTTTCATCTCCAAATCCACAAATTATTCAGTAATAAAACAGATTTGATTTGGCAAATTCAGATGGTGATGCAGTCATCTTAAATCATCAAGAGCATGAAATTCAGCAGAACAGTTCTGTGCTCCTGATGTGTCCGTGCTGTATAGTTTTCAGTATGAGTTTTCATGGCATGGGCTAAAGGTTTTTACATATGTGTCTTTTCATTTGCTAGTTGAAGGAACTAAGATGCAAGACATGACTTGTTTCAAGGTATCACTCACACTCATTCTGGCCTGTTATTGATATTGCTTGGTCAAAAGTATACCATTAAAAGTGGCTTCTACAATTCTGTTTTTAGTTTAGCTTGGGATGAGTGTGAATGTGTGTTTCATTCACATGCATGTCATTTTCTTAATGACAATTTTTTTCCTGGTCAGTTTAAACTCATATACCAGTGACAATTTTTTTATCAATTAAATGTGGAATTATTTTGTCAGTAGTATTGTAGATAAGTACAAAATGTAGTGCTGTAGTGCTCCTGTTTACAGAAACATTTTTCAATATGACTTTAGTTTCAGATTTACCCTCACTGTAAAGATGCTGGAGGATACTGTTCACCATTTTTGAGCTTGAATTAAAATGTCTGCATTGTGCAGAAAATATCACAGTGGTTTTATATTCAAAAAAATTAACAAATGTGCTATCACATTCTCAAAACAAAGGTCATATAATTCAGGTTTTCAGGAGACTGTAGAGTTCCTTAAGACAAGTTTCTGATGGAATTGACTGAATAATGATTAGGTTCTTTCATCCACATTAATGCTTCTGAAAACTTTTAATTCTAAAATAGGTTGATTTCAGTAGCTGGAAAATAGTATGCATCCTTAAGTAATAAATAGTTTTTAAGTTCTTTATATGAATAAATCAATGGCTTTGTGTAATAATAGTAATGCTAGCCTTCAGTTTGCAGTGATAGCTTACCACAAAGAAGCAATTTCTATGTATTCCAGATTTAAAATAGCTTTTGTGGTGTATAAATAAGGGTTTAAAAATTTATGAGCACATTTGTCAGTGTATTTGGATTACAAAACTGACATCATAACTTGCAAGCTTCTTTTTTCAAATAGTTCAGTATCTTTAATTGATAATAGGACTGGTTAATATATTTATTCTTAGTCATGTAGTCATGTTTATAAACTACTTTCATATAATATATCTAATGGTGATCTTTGTGAAATATTTAGTCTGAAATCTTGAAAGTGATCTAATGCCACTCAATGAATCACATTGCTGAATAAAAATTGAACTTGAGTCTCATTCCCACTTTAAACACTGCTTAGCCTGCTTATCAAAAGCAAAACAATACTGAACAAAAAAATAGGATACATTTTGTTTTTTATCATTAGTCTATGGGAATGTTAAATGTTTATATTAAATGGCCAGATTTTCTTGGAGAAAATTGTTGCCTTTCCTTCCAAACTTTTGGTCCAGTAATTGGAAGAAGTTCTGCACACTTAATACACCAGCCATCTTTCTTCCCTATTTAGGCAAGTAAAAGTGGCAGAAAGAAGCAGAAAGGATTTAAGGCCTACAAAAGATCCTTATACGGCCTTGAAATTTTTACTTAGCCTGTGGGCCTTGTGAAACATAGTAACAGATTATTGTCTTAATATTGTCTTATCTACATCATTAGAAGTCCCAACATGCCTAACAAATTTGAATACTGATACCTAACTTATCTTCTGTTTTTAAAATAATTTCTTCTAATATTAGATGATGTCTCATTCATTTCTGTAAGCTGAAAATAGTCTTGTCAAAATGAACTTTCTCAGTAGCTAAATTGAATCTAAGCAACTTGTTTCCCACAACTCAGTGTAGTTTATTATCTATGATTGTCCACAGAACAGAACTAAAGCTGACTAAATTTCCAAGTTTTACTGATCACTTGGACATTATTGAAGTCAAAATGATAAAAAGCTGTTATATAGCTTCAACCCTGCTCTAAAGGTTCTTTATTTGTTTACCATAGTCAGAGTTGAATGGCTGTTTAGGGCTTCCAGGTTTATTGAGGTTCATGGTTATGTTGGCTATAAAACTATATTTCCCAGCACCTGAATTGGCACGGAACTGGAAAGAACCTGATTCCTAATTTTGACAAACACCCAACACCTTTACAAAGTGGCTTTTTCGCACCCACCCACTCCAAAACTACAGTACTTCAGGCAAAGCAAAAGACATGTTATTAAGGGAGGGTGTCAAATCTTTATATAAGGTTCAGAAACAAATGATATATGCATTCAGTATATGTGATGCATTAGAAAGCAACAAATTAAACAATAAAATCCATTGATAAGATGTAAAAAAGGACTGTTCCCCTTAAAATAGGTCATTTTTCCTTCTTTCCCACCTGTTTTGTTTCTTCAATACTTGCAACACCTCAAGGACTTCAAAATACAGTCCTATTGTTTGATTGATGAAAGGACTAGTTTTTTCCACATCAAAGGAAATGGCTTTGGCTTAAAGAACATGTTTTTTTTTAAACTTCCAAAAGAGGCATGGATGCCATGCTAAAACGCTAATACGGGTAGTTCTCAACTTACAACCATTTATTTACTGACTGAAGTTACTGTTTACAAGCAGTCCTCATATTGACAACCATCGCAGTATCTCTACAGTCAGATGATCAAAATTTGGGCACTTGACAACCAGCATGTCATTGTTGCAGCATCCCAGAGTCAAATAATCACCACTTTGCAACCTGACCAGCCAGTTTCTGACAAGCAAAGTTAATAGGGAAAGCCCGATTCATTTAACGGCCATATGATTCATTTAATAATTGCATTAATCACTTAACAAACATTCTGGTCCCAAATGTAATTGTAAGTTGAGGACTACCTGTATCACCTTTATTAAAAGGCTAATAGAAAAAAATCTGTGTAACAGTTATATTATATTATATAAGCTCTGAAAGAACAGATAATAAATAAACATTGTTTCTTGCACTCATAATAAAACTTTAAGATCTGTGGGACTCGGAATGCATTTTTGCATTTACTATGTAACTTTTTTTTAAAAAAAAAGGTATAAAGTAATGTTAGCAAAGATAAGAAATTATAACTGAGATTATAGCAGACAAAAAAGAAAAAAATATTTTCTCCCATTACAGTCCTTAAAGAAGCTGCCATTTTCTTTTGAGAACTCTCCATTGGCAGCAATGAGTAGACATTCATCATGGAGTGCAGCAAGGAAAGTCTGCTGCAATGTCAAAACAATAATGATCAACCTATATTCCTGATAATATTTGCATTTTAAAAAATGCAGAAGAGCATTTAATAAGAAACTATTTAGTCTAAAATAGAATTTTGTTTAGACAAGTGAAGTTTTTAAAATGACGTTTCTTGTGTTTTGATGTTTCTTCTGATTTATGTTATCATGATACACAAATCCCTGTCTTTACAGTGAAAATGATATCAATTTCTGTACAGAAATGTGGATTGAAAGAATGTATCTTTCCCTTGTTAACAGTCTCCTCCTTTCTCTGTTAAAGCGCTCTCCCTCCTGTATTCCAGCCCACAAAGGCAGACGTGTAAGAGGATGTCTTGTTGTGTGTTGGCTTTTAGTTTTTCATATCACGGACATGGCTTTGCCTTCGTTCAGTGTAGACCATTTTCCTTGATATTTTTATGGCTTGCATATTTATCTTGCTGCTTGTCCTGTGCTACTGCTTTTCTTATATTTTCCTTCTGTTTAATAATGTTTATTAAGTGCAAAGCTTTGAGAATGTTTGTGTGGTTTTATTCTGTTTTATGCTCTTGGCTTTTAGGATGTCACAAAAACAAAGCAAAATTAGTATAAAATCCACCTATTTGTTAAGATAATGGGGAGCAATTTTTAAATAATATTTTTATAGATAATATTTTACAAATCAGATAAATATGTTTCATACACAATTACAATACTATGTTTCAATCTTAAACTAGAGTACAACGATTTAGCAAAACAGAATTCTGTTTCTAATGATCCTAATCCATGGATTCCTAATCCATGTCATCATCAAATTATGAGCAGGATTATCAATTCAATCAAGTTAGTTTGGTTGACGTTAAAAAGAATTCCAAAATCATGACAAGAACCCATTTGTTTAATGTGATTAGTATTATTCAGTCTGAGAACATTTTATAATAGTTGGTTTGGCAATTTATGCTTAGTCTAAATGTTCTCTCTCTTACACACACACACACACACACACACACACACACACACACACACACACAGAGAGAGAGAGAGAGAGAGAGAGAGAGAGAGAGAGAGAACAATCTGCAGATTATCTTCCAAGCATTCAGAGATGTGTCTATCTGTAAATACATGTATGTATTAGAGCTATGCAAAGTATTCTTGTTGCAAACCATGTTAATGCAAACAAAATACCGTCATAATATTGAAACAGCCACAAAAAATATTTTAGAAGGCTTGCACAGCTGCCTTGAAGGCTGTCTTTCCTCTCTCTGCTTATCTATGCATGCACAACCACTTCACCTTGGTGGTGGTCCTGTTTGGAATACTGGCTGTGCTTGCATGCAGTTAACATTCATTAAAGCAGTTGCACCAATCTCTCTAAAGGGCATGGTTGCTTTCATGTTTCAAAGAACATTGCTTTGCTTAGTCCATAAAGCTTTGTGATTCAACGTGGCAAACATACCTAATACTCCTGCCTCATATTTTTTCCCATCACAACCATCTCTTTCAAATACATGCTACAAGTTAGTTGCATACACAGTACACACAGATACCCTTGTGCTGTGTCCCATATTAAGCAAGCGCTTCCTATTCAATGTTCTCAGACTGAGTTATGCTCAATTATCTACATCGTGGAAGGATGGAATATGTGTTTCAGACTAGATCTTGGGAACAGACCTTCCCAAAACCCACCTTCACCAGTGCTAAGGATAGCAGTTTGCAATTCACTTAAATTACAAACACAAACTTTGTATTCTAGTCATTTCTATTTCCATTCTGGTTTGGAGTGTTTTTGGGGGGAGGGAAGAAATAAAAATAGTGAAAAGGGGGTGTTAAAACATCTACCTCTGGGTGTGTCTCATAATATTTTCCTACATTTCTTGTCTGATATAATACCTGGGACAGATGGAAAAGATTATTTCAATGCCTGTCTAATATTTGTTGGTCCCAAGTGAATTTTTCAATAAGTAAAAAAAGCAAAGTCCCTGATGTTCAGTAAGGTATAATTTTATATTTAATAATGGTGGAATCAAAGTATATAAAATAATTTCTGCTAATAATTGCTGCAGTGCTTGAAATAGTTTACATGCAAGTAACAAAGAATTATATTGATGATCATGTAGCATTGATTATAGTCTCTGCAGATTGAAATGGTATAAACATTTTATAAATATGTCAATTAAATAATGCTACATCTATATTTTAAAAGAAGTGCTGAGCTGTATTCTGAATTTCAGTTACTGTTTGCTTTATGTAAGCACTAGCAATAAATGAGAAATCAAGCAATAAATGAGAAATCAAGCATTATATTAAACAAAATAAAGGAACATAAATTGTTCATTCACTTGTTTTCTACTTATGATTTATTCAAGTGGCACATACACATATACATACAAATACACATACAAATGTACACAAAGATTTATATGTACGTGCATATAAGGAAGATTCTTAGATATGTTTTGTCTGCTTTTTTTGTGTTTTCAGAACAAATCATGCTCTAAAATTTTTGTTAAACTTAAAAAGTAACCTGCTTTCTACAACATGATTTGTATGAATCCTATTCAGTACAAAATAAAATGCATAGAATCCAAGTGACATAACTTGACTATTTTTTATTGAAACATAATTTTTGACTGACAATCCTAAATAATGACACTGAACTAGAGAAAAAAGAGAGATGTTAGCTAGCTGGAAATCAACAATTTAACTAAGCAAAGATCTTTCAAAAAGATTATTTTTTCTTAAAAGATATTTTAATTAAACCAAAACTACAGTGCTTTGGTAGTATAGGAAAATAATAAAAATATGTCCTGTACACCATTCTGTGTGTTTCTGTTAAAAGAAACAGAAAATTTCTGTCTATGATTACTTTACATACTGATAAAAAATAAATTTGAAAACATAGATTAAGATATCACTGTAATCTTTAGAAATTTATCCTTTATTAGAACAAACCTGATCAATGTTATTTTGTATTGATAAGTGTGGGCTAAGATCATTTTTTAAAACTATATTAAAATGATATATTTGCTAATTAATAAGTTTCATGATACTGTCATGTATTATGACTACTTATTAATAACCTTTCTATTATGTTTTAGCATGAGTTCTTTGAAATAGTTTGTAAACATGAAATTACAATTAATATAAAAAAGAAGCTTCTAAAATATTATTTCCAGATTACACAAGAATCAAAATCTATGGAGTCCTTGGTCCTCTCAAGCTTGGTTGCTTGCTTGCAGATGTTTCATTATTCCTCAATGAATCAAAATTTATCAAGCTTATTTGTTATAATTACTATATTAAAAAACACCAAAGGCCTACAAGTGTAGCCATAGCTTTAATTTTATGTAAATTGATTTCATTCTAAGTATAACTTGAGAAATAAATCTAAGGATAGATTGCATTAAGCTTTACATCAATGCAGTTTTAGAGGAATTGTCATTATGCTGATATTGATATCACAGGTATTCAAATTTCCAAACTATAGGTACCACCTTATATTGACCAAATATTTATATATAATAAAAGGTTGGGTAAACTAATAATTATTACTTCATTTTTTTTAAATGTAATTTGTCTGCATTTCTGTGTCACAGCAAGTGGAGGCATCTGCTCAACATAATATTTGGATGGTAGATCACCAGGAAATCTCAAGTTTGTAGAGTAGATTGCAGTGTGTGGAAAAATCTTGAAAAAGGGAATGGTAAATGATTCTGTATTGTTTTCCACAATCACTGTAAGTCAGGAGCCAAACTTTATTAAAGGAGACTCTACATTTATGTTATTTGCATTTCTATATTTTTGAAAACTGGTATTTATTGAATGTGGCTTCTTAATATTCTTCCCCTTTTTTTTCTTTTCCTTTCATTTTCCATTTCTTTCTTTCTTTCTTCCTTTCTTTTTTTTTTTTTTTTTTTTGCTTGTTTCTTTCCCTTGGTTGTTTCTCTAGATTGATTCTGTTGAAAATTTTACCTTATCTAATACACCTTCGCGGGATGAAGATATCAAGTATCATCTTCATTCAAGATCTAGGTCCCCTTCCACAGCTAGTGACATTGAACCAATCGAGGTACTCTATCTTAGAACATTTGTTTAAGAATTGTCCATCCCATACCTCAGTGTCAAAGTAACTGTGCAAGTGTACTGTGGAGTAAATTCAATTGAATTAAATGGGAATTATATTTATATCAACAAATAAATGCTATATATTCATAATATGGTAGCCATAACATCTTTTCCTGGTGATTTAACTCATCAGGATATTATTGGTCACATATTATTATTATTTATTTGTTATGGCCATACAGTCCAGCAGACTGGGTGAGTTACAAAAAAAAGAAAATTTCCCAAAATAGTTAAAAACATAAATACATACTGCCTGGACTAAATAATAATAATAACAACAAGAAACCAACAATAACAACATAATAACAAGAAGCTCATTAAGCTCAGGTCTGAGACCAGAACCCAGATCTTAAGAGTTTTCCAGAATGTCAGAAGAGAGCTTGCCATTTCTATCACTTTTAGTACATGAGTTACAATATTTTGTCCAGTCACTGCTTTAGAGCAAAGAAAACTTAAAAGCCATTGTTTTACTTTATAATTCTTTTTTCATTAGCATATGGAGAACAATCTGTGGCCATTATAGAGAGAGCAGAGAGAATTTACCCACTCTCACCTATTTCTGCCTATTTCTCACACTCCTTCATGTAGCTAGAAAAGTTAAAATTATAATGCCCAGAGATTATTAATTTTTCTGTAGTTTTTCTAGGATTTCATAATGATCATGGAAATCAAAAAGGGCATTCAGGTAAGTAGTTCAGATAACATGTAGAAAGTTAGTTGACTATGGGAATTAACCTGAGGATGAACTGATTTGGACATTTAACTAGATTTAGCTGTTCACATGACATCCTATTCCTCCAATGAGCCAATTAAGCATACTGGTAAATAGGCCTAAAGTCTTTACATAGCATACCTATTAAAAGATTATTTCCATGATTTTACTTTTTCAATTCAGTCAAGTAACATTAACATGCTGTGTTTTGGGAAGATTTATTTCTGTTTCATGTGGAAAACATGGCCAAAGATAGGAATAACAGTGTTTTGCTATTTGCTTTGCATCTGAATACCTATATTAATGGAATTCAGTGGCTCCTGAAAACACTTCTATGTCTGAGCACTAGTTCATATGAGAGAGTTATTTTACATACATAGGACTCAAACATGCTATATGTATGTGTACAGACAAACTCAAATTCAGTGACATACTTTAAATAGTATTGTACATACAGAAAAGTGAGATATAAAACAAATATATGTACACATGTAAAGTATCCCTTGGAGTATGAGAGCAAGATAAAACACATTCAAATACACATAGTTTCTAAATTGTTGTAGTTATATTGTCCATTATAGAAAGAAAATTGCCCATACAGAAAGCAAATACAGGAACAAAATAATAGTTATTGATACAATACATTGCTACTGTTACTTTCTTTCAGATATCACTTGCATCTAGAGTGAAGCAATATTTCTTTTATTATTCTTCAGCAAGCTGCTGATTCCATTATTTCTTTGCCAAGGAACTTAGCTTTGTAATGTTCCTTGTGCAATTCCTTTTGGGATTCGGGTGTCATCTTCTGTGTTGTAATAGAAGGCTGTCAGTCAGGCTCTATCAAGCCAAGATTTTAAATATATGCTAATGCAGGGTCCTCAACCCCCGATCTGTGGACCAACACTGGGCCACAGCATGCCAAAAACCAGGCCGCCCGAACAAGCAAAGCCCCATCAGTGGGATACAGGCAGTACATGAAACCACACCCCCTCCAGTCCACAGAAAAACCTGTCTCCACAGAACCGGTCCCTGGTGCTCAAAAGGTTGAGGACCTCTGTGCTAATGTCTTCACTGTGGAGCAAAGTTTTTTGTGAAACTGACAAAGGTTTCAAAAATAGTTTGTGATAGGGCATAGACTGTAGAATATATATCCGCAATTCCGAGAAAACAACTTATTTAGTTAGCCTGCTACAAATACCATGTAGTTGTCTTCTGATGGAGGATTGTTTGGTTACTTTTTGGATGGAAGCATTGATCTTCAGAATATTTCTTGGACTTTTCACGGAAACCCTAATTTCATAGTTCACATGTCACTTTAAATACTTTCTTTCTTGCATGTTTTGATGTTCAAATGTCACCTAAGTATTCAAAACTGGAATACTTCTTGTATCTTTATACTGCAATTATATGCATGATTGCTTTTACTTTAATATAAATCATTGTTTTTAAATTATTGTTTTACAATTGACAGGGTTTGCAGTGTTAAGCTATTTATGCTATAGTTCCTGAGGTTATTTTCCATTTATAGACATCTCCCATTTGTAAACCAGCCATACTATGTAGCTGGTTTCTTTCCTATTTATTTATTTTAGTAAATATTTTAAAAGAATAGAAGCAAAAAGCAAAAAAGTAAGAAAAATGAAAAAACCAAAAGGAAATAAATTTACATGCAAGATTAAATAAAAATGTCAAAGTAATCTAGATTAGTGCTGCATATTTAAGTCTTTAGAATATTATTTGTCAAGTCAATATTCAATACTTAAAAACAATATCCAGTGTAATCTGAATCATAAATTAAAAAATCATTTTGATTTATGATTTTACATAAGTTAGCCTGGTAACCACATGCTGTCACAATTACCTGTAAAATAGAAGAGCAGTTATAAAATAATGTAACTTTTTATCATGGCACATTAACATTGACCATGAGCTTGTCAAGCATATTTATTTTATGCATATATCACATTATATGTACTATATTATATTACATTTTAATATGATAATTACTTAAAACCTACATATTTTTTCATCATGATAGACAAAGCAGTTTATAACAACGATAGTGCTTCAGAAAAGTTTATGTTCCTTTGACAATATTTTTATTTAATAAAATAAAAATGAAGTGTTACCAGTGTATTACTGGCACATGCTACTGACCTATATCATTTTATTAAACTCCTTGGCTGCACTTATAAGAATATTTATCACACAGATCCGTCATATAAAAGCCTTTAGTTAATAACTGCCTGAACTTCTTATATACTAGATGTATGATTCAGTATTGGTACAGAGGTAATCAGCCAAACATCAGCTTAATGAAGACAGTTAAACTGAGTGTGTGTGTTAGATAATTAACAAAACTGCAAATGTTGGAAAAGTGCTTCACACTTCACAGTGAATATTGCTACAAATGAAACATTTCTTCTCGAGAAATAAAGCAGTTGTAATGGTTGGAATGGTCAGCATGACTGCCTGAAAAGCTTTTTTTTGGGTCTCTGCATGCATGTTGCATGGACAGCTGCGTTGCTTTGCTGGCAGCCCCAGGGCAAGTGCTGTTTGATTAACAAAACATTTTTATTACATGCACATCCAAAAGAATAACCCTCAGCGTCGCTGTTTGAATGTTTTATGCTATTTTTCTCCCCATAGAGATTCAGGTTGTAGTGGTGGTTAAGGTGCTGGCCTAGAAACCAGGAGACTGTGGGTTTTAATCCTGCCTTAGGCATGAAAAACCATTGGGTAACTTTCGGCCAGTCACTGACTCTCAGCCCAACACACCTCACAGGGTAGTTATTGTGGGGAAAATAGGAGGAGGAAGGAGTTTTTGTATGTTCTTCACATACAAAGTTGTACATTGAAAAGAAAATATATGAATAATATAATAATAATATTTGTTACTGATAGTTATGTATGTATGTGTCGATGAGTATTTGAAGCTTTTCCAGTAAACCAATTTCTTAAAATACATTTACTTTGATGCAGTCAGCTTAGTTATGTTAAAGGCTGTGAAGCATTTAAATATTTTGCAAGTGAGGAAAATCTGAACATGTTACCCAAAGTAAATGCTTTTTTAAAAAATATTGTATGCATATTTCAAATTCTTGTGTAATTTTTGCACCAGTTTGCTTATATCAACACCATTTAATAGTGGGGGTGTGGGGCGATTAATATTAATATAAATTAATGTTCACCATATATGTGTTCAGGTTTCAGATCATCCTCTGCGTCCAGTTCAGACACCATCCATGAGATCACCATATAGTGGTTCAGGACTCTCTGTGCCAAAGGTACTCAATCATATATTCCAATTAGAAGCTATGCTAAAATCTTAGGCTATTCTTATATAGGTCGTCATTCACGTATGACCACAGTTGAGTTTGGAATATTGGTCATAAATCGTTGCCGTCATAAGTTGAGTCCACATGACTGGACTTGATGTTTTAACCATTTGTACAACAGTAATTAAGCAAGTCAGCACAGTAATTAAGTAAATCATATATCATTAAGCATATCATGTGGTTGTAATTCCAAATCCAGCTTATCCAACGGACATTTTTGTCAGAAAATAGCAAAAACTATTGTAAAATATGATCGTGTGACCAAGCACTCAAAATATGACTATGTGACTTTGGGAGCAATGTGGTAGTCATAACTTTGAGGACATAACTTTTTCAGAGTCAGTCATAATTTTGAAGTTTCGTTAAGCAATCAGTAGTCAAGGATTACCTGTGTCTACTTAGTTGATCCTCTATCATTTACTTATGAATAAGGATGCTGTTGTTAGTATCAGTAAGAACTAAACCCACTTTGGAAGAAACAATTCTACATGTTATAAGTGTTCAAATATTTAAAAAGCAAGAGAGGTCAAGTCCAACTTAGACAGCATTTATTTCCTTATACTAAATTTGAAAAAACTCGCTGTGTGCTGGACTAAATGTTATGAAAGGAAACAGATTATATATTTCTTTTGTCACATGTACGTGATTTCTACTTCATTACAGAAATGTAGTAACTTATTCTCTGTTTGGGAAGCATTACAAGGAAGCAGAATGTGTTACTGATCATCAAATGGTCTTGAAAGCTAAAGGAAAAAAACCACATTTGTTTCTGCATAGTTTAATAATAAATAATCTACCAATGAGTTTTGTGGTGCATTAGATATTACTTTGCTGTGAAAAAAAGAAATATAAAACACAAGGTAACTGTTTTACCTGTTCCTTTTTTGGATATTGGTCCACTAATTTTGATCATTTATTTAATTCCTTAGACTGTATCTATCAAACACATAAGATGTAAAACTATTATAAAGTTACATACCTAACTTAATAGTATCCTATAGGGTGATGATTCTGTTCTCTGAATGGAACTGGTTATGATTAAACAAGTGTAAGATATAGGAATGGCTTGAAAATTATAAAACTGAAAAATAAACTCTGATTTTTTTAGAGCAACAAAATTTAACTATTTATATAATATGCGCCAATTTAAAAATGATTTTTATTATCAAAGTTCTGTCACCTAATCAGTACTTCTATTTGTTTTACAGCCTAAGGCCCATCAGTTTGTAGTAAAATCCTTTAATACCCCTACCAAATGCAATCAGTGCACATCATTGATGGTTGGGTTAATAAGACAGGGCTGTACCTGTGAAGGTAAGGTCTGGTATCTGTTTGATTTTACAAATAATTCTATTTATTATATGTTACATGTAATTACATGTTAATGCCATTTTTCTAACTGTGTTACACACTTGTGGCAAAAAAAAGCGAAGAACAGCTATATATTTTAATTACCTTTTAAAGATTCAGGGACAACTTTCCTTAGCTTAGTATAATACAGTGGTTCTCAACCTGTGGGTCGGGACCCCATTTGGGGTCGAACGACTATTTCACGGGGGTCGCCAAACAAGGCTGTCCGCCATTTTTTTCCCCTTTTCTTTGGCCACGCCCCTGGCACCCGGTGATGTATAAGTGGTTGGGGGTCGCCACAACATGGGGAACTGTATTATGGGGTCGCGGCATTAGAAAGGTTGAGAACCACTGGTATAATACAATATAGTTGAATATGTCATAATACTGTTTTAGATTGGTGATTGCAATAAGTGATACTGAGACAACCAGTGAACTGTAACACCACATTGAATGGTCCTTGGTTCCAGTAATGAAATATTTTTAAAAAGTGTAGAGAAAAATCTGAGCATCTGTTTTGTTGGCTTCAGCATTGAGAGGGTTTTATGGTTGCTGAATCTTGTCTAAAACAAGGCCTTTCAGTAAACGAGCAGCTGGTCAGCAGAGAGAAATCAAGTGAAAACAGACTAACTTTCCCTGTGTAGCAATCTCAGTTGTAGTCAAACCATTAGAAGCTTGAAGAATATGATTATATGTATGAAGATGCATATGTTTATAGGACAGAAATGTTTATCAACCTGATTAGGACTTAGAAATTTCATATGTTGCTGTACTGCAACATAGGTGAGAAGGTAGGCTATTCATTTTATCAAACTGAACAAAATATTTTTATAATGAACTTTTTTTTATGGATGTTCATTTTAGCTCAAGAGAGTAGAGCTGATAAGAGTGATGTGGAAGATATATATGAAACAACATCTAACTCTTTTAAAAAGTAATTTTTGAACAAAAATTCAATAGAATAGAATAATAGAGTTGGAAGGGACCTTGGAGGTCTTCTAGTCCAACCTTCTGCTCAGGCAGGAAACCCTATACCAGGCATGTCAAACTGCTGGCCCATGGGCCAGATGTGTCACACCAAAACCACGCCCACCCCATTGCCGGCACTGGGGAAAAAGTCGTGATATGTCGCGTGACGTCACATGATGTCACGAGTTTGACATGCCTGCCCTATACCATTTCAGACACATGGTTGTCCAATCTCTTCTTAAAAACTTCCAGTGTTGGAGCATTCACAAGGCAAGTTGTTCCACTGGAAGCAAGTTGTTGCACTGATTAATTGTTGTAAATGTCATGAAATTTCTTCTTAGTTTTAGGTTGCTTTTCTCCTTAATTAGTTTCCATCCATGGCTTCTTGTCCTGCCCTTACGTGCTTTGGAGAATAGCTTGACTCCCTCTTATTTGGGCAAACCCTGAGATATTGGAACACTGCTATCACGTCACACCTAGTCCTTCTTCTCATTAAACTAGACATACCCAATTAATCAGACAATAGTTTTATATTAATTTCCTATTTAAATTCCTAATCTGCACTTTATAAATTAGCAATTTCAATGTTGCAAAAGTATAAACCTTCATCAGAACATATATCTTTGGAACTTCTGTGAAATGACTCATTTCAGTTGTATATAACTATAGTTTTAATAGTCCAGAAGGTATTAGTATAGTGAGTGTGAATGTATTCGTTGGGAAATAGTACTCTACTACATGTTTATCTATAGCAAATCTCCCTTCTCTGAGTTAGCATATAATAGGCACATAGTTCCATTGGCCAAGAAAAATTGATGATGATATTTGTGTTTATTACTGATTTTCATATTATTAAAATAAGTATTACACAGTCAACAAAGATAGATGTACATTTTAATTACAAATACTGTCTTTCCTCCCAGTCTGTGGATTTTCATGCCATGTGACCTGTGCAGACAAAGCACCAGCAGTATGTCCCATCCCACCTGAACAGACAAAAGGTCCTCTAGGGATTGATCCACAGAAAGGAATAGGAACTGCTTATGAAGGGCATGTCCGAGTAAGTCTAAGAAGACCTGTGTTGTTGGTTTATGTTTACCATTGATATTCATTTTTCTCTGTGTGTGTCTATCTCTCTTAAATGGAAATTTCTTATCATTTTTACAACAAAAGTGTGAGTGTTTGCGTTTGTGTGTATGTGTGTATACATACAATATGTGTGTGTATGTATATACATACAAACACACACAAAGTAAACCGCAAAATGTCTGCTACTGTTTCAGAGAAAAAGCTAGGCGTTGGTAGTTTTCAGTGCACTTCCATACTGTCATTGGTATTGCAATTTTGTACTAGTGTGCTAATATCTATCCTGCTATACTCCATTATCCTATGAAGGTGGCCAGTGCTCCCTTCCTCTGGCTAGTGGAAGGGCATAAAAAATGTAACCAGCTAATACCCTAAATATATGGAGATTCTCAGTCATTCAGGTCATAGTTATCCCAAAGGTGCTTTTTTCACTAGCCAACTGGATTGTCTTGTTTTTCTTTGAAGATATTTCACTTCATATTCAAGAAGTTTCTTTAGCTCTGACTGGATGGTGGGGAATGGAAGGATTTATACTCCTTGCACACAGCTGGTCATTTGCATTCTTTTAGAGGGTTGTTGAGGCCACCTGGAGGTTTATCTGGGTCATCAGGGTCACTTGAGTAGTGCAAATGGGTATGGAACCTTCTTGGAACTGCTGAAAGGACTGTGTTGTAGATTGAAGATAAATGCATATCCCCCCCCCCCACTCTGTTGAGAGAGGGCTTGCCTCATGAAAAAACATGTTTGGGATAATATTCCAAACACACGCTGATTAATCTCATGTTTACTTTTCTCCATGAGAGAAAAGAAAGGGGGGGGAGATTACACTGTATGGTTACTAAAGATGGTGCCCCCCAGAGTGACGGGAGAAGACATGAACTGGGGCACAACTCCAAGGTGCCTTAGCTGCAGAACACAATAAGAAATCCCAAGAAATGGGACAAAGTACGGACTCTTGCCAGTGAGAACCACCTGCCCTATACTTCCAGAAGAAATGCTACAATATTTTCAATGCTCCTAGAGCCATTGCTTTGTGGGAAATTGGAACTAGCATTGATCTTAGATCGCTGCAATCTTGCATGTAGAAGAGGCATCAGCTTCTTCACTGCTCTATTTGAAGGAAGACATGACAGTTGACTAAGCTTATTTTTACAGTATAAATGCATATCCGATTGACTTGCTGAATGGTTTCTTGTATAAATGTTGAAAGTACATTTTGCATATTATGCTTAGGTGTTAAAATTGTTTGCCTGTTTTGATTTTTTGCATTTAATTAAATTAATGTCATTAATTTCTTTTTAGATCCCTAAGCCAGCTGGAGTGAAGAAAGGCTGGCAGAGAGCCCTGGCTGTTGTCTGTGACTTCAAGCTCTTCCTTTATGATATAGCAGAAGGAAAAGCATCCCAGCCCAGTGTGGTAGTTAGTCAAGTTCTTGATATGAGGTAGGAATGGCATGCTTTAATACCAAAGGCAGCAAGTGCTTCTCTTTTGAGTCTCTGCTGGTATGAATAAGATAAAAGTCAGCCATTTTCCTATAGCCTATCTTTTTTTGATAAGCTGTACTTAAGAGAACATCAGCAGTAGCTGTGGTATAATATGGAACTATTATTGAGCTTTAAATAACTGAAGTTTTAAAATGATAGTGATTGTTGTTTCAGGTAAAGAATCATATTTCTCTTTAAATGGATTTATTATTAGTGTATATTCACAATTGGCCAGTAGGACTTCTTTTTAAACACTTACTAATTGCACCTAGATAAAGTAGTGCTTAAAAGTTTGTTAACCTTTTTGAAATTTCAGTATTTCTGCATAAGTATGATCTAAAACAGGGATTAATTTCATTGAGGGCCGCATCAGCATTGCGGTTGTCCTTGGGGGGCCGGGTAGGTATGGCCAGGGTGGGCACGGCCTACTGGGTGGGCATGGCTGGAGTGGGTGTGGCCTACTGGGTGGGCATGGCCAGCTCTACATCGTTCACGTCAAGGGTGCCAGTGGGGGCCTGGGCAGGAGTGGGACAGATCTAAGGGTCTCTGGCAGAAGGGGGTGGGACCAGGGCAAGTTCCAAAGCATGGTCCACTGGAAGAGCCTGCCAAAACCCCTCCCCCGGAGCCCATCAAGCTGGATATGTGAAGTAGGCAAGGGCCATTTGCTGGCCACTTCCAAGCAATGGTGCATTTCTTCATTCCTCACAAAGGGTGACACCTCCCCAGCATGCACCCAGGGGACGGGGCCGATGCAGCAGGGGCTGGTTCCTCGCTGTCTCCAGATGGCCTTGTGGAGCTAAGACTGAATGTGTTTCAGTATAGATGGCCACAAAATTGTATATTGGCTCCTGACCGGCCTGGGCCGGGGCCAAGGCAGCAGGGTCCATTCCCTCACTGTTTCCAGGATGGCTTCGCAGGCCACATGAAACCATGTCACGGGCCGCATCCGGCCCCCGGGCCTGGTGTTTGACATGTCTGACCTAAAGTATGACCTGTTCTCCACAAATCCAAAAACTAGAAAAAGAGAACCCAATTAAGCAAATGAGTCGAAAATATTATTCTTGTTCATTGGTTTATTGTGAAAATGATCTAAAGCTCCATATTTATGTGTGGGAAAAGATGTAAACTTTTGCTTTTAGTAACTGATGTGTCACCCTTGGCCAGCAATAATTTCAGCTAAATGTTTCTGATAACTGTTGATCAATAGAAGAGAATATACTGTTGGTAACTCAAGGTTGAATTATGGAGTCGGTGATCTTTGAGCTTAGTTCTTTGTTTTCAGATGGTTTATTACCTGACTAGCTAACTGGTGGGCACTGATTCAGGGCATCATTTGTGCATCAACATCTGTAAGCAAACAACGAAGTTCAGAGAGCGCCATAGACCACATAAGTGTCGATTTTTTGTGCATATTTGTTTGAAAAAAATTAAGCCCATTTCTCCTGTTAGAGGATTTAGTGTGCTTTCTCTCATGCACTGCCTTCTTTAGGACCTTCTACAACATTCCTGCAGAATTAAGGTCAGGACTTGGACTTGGCCATTACAAAACATTAAATTTCTTCTGCTTTAAACCATTCTTTGTTTGTATGACTTGTATGTTTTAGATCATTTTGCTGCATGACTGACTTTCTCTTGAACTTCAATTCATGGACAGATATTCTGATATTTTCCTGGCACAATTAAGAACTCAGAGGTCCATGGGAAGTCATCCTGTCCAGAGGCAGCAAAACAGGCTCAAATCATGATATTGCCACTACCATAATTTTTTTAGATATGCTGGAATGCAGTGTTTGCCTTTCGCCAAATGAATCAGTTTATATTTTACTTATATATTAATAAAAGTTACATCAACCTACTATTTTAACATTTAATATATTATAAAACATACTATATTACTTAAATCTCATTATCTTTCTTGTTATAAGGCCCCTTTATGTTCAAACTTCTCTGTTCTTTTAGCCATATTCAAACAAATGTTTATTCACATAATAGTCCATCTGGTAGGACGAGTCAAATCTCTTGTATCGATCTCTGATTTTTTTTTTGCCAAGTAATTTTCCAAGTTGATGTAATCTGCTTACCCAACAGTTCCTGTATTTTTGCAAATGTTGTTGGGAATACAAAAGATGAAGTAAGTAAGATAAATTCTTTCTATCCCCCAAACTTTAATAGCTCTCCTAATAATTCCATTTTTCTTGTTGTATCAGAACCTTATAGATTTTTTCCTGTTTGTGTCAAATTGTAATTCTTTTCCTTTGTTATTTCATCAGTTTAATCATACTCTTCTAGTTTGTAATCTGCTGTCTGATTTGTTTGTTCCTTTGTTGTTATTTCCTGGGTATTTTTTAATTGTAGATTTAGATTGGAAATATGCATATTTAAATCCTCAAAGTTGTTTCAAATTTTGTTGTGGTTTGAATCTATTGTCATTTGTATTTGTCCTAACATTACATATATTTCTTCTGGGAAAGTATTTATCTTGCCTTGAAGTATTGCTTCTGGAGGCCCTTGATTTTCTATGCTAAGTCCTTCAGGAGAAAATATTGGATGTGGCATCCTGTCATTTTTTGATACATATGTGATATCCATGTTGTCTTCCCCCTTCAAATAATCTTTCATCAAAGTTTCAATTCAAAAGTCAATTTATCAGTCAGTAAAAATTACAGATTCAGTATATTAAGCCGCTTTAAATCCTGCAAATTCTCCTCTAAAAGATTAGCCAAAAAGCCAAAGTTTTGTTTTTTTTACCATAAACAGTTCTGAGGTTTAAGCAACAGACCAGGTGTTGTTTTTTTCTTTCAAACACTTTTTAATCGTATAGCTGGCTCTTCCTTTGTTCCCAGCTGTCTTCGAGGTTATTTGCAATTCAAAGGAACAACTTTTTCTGGGCATTCTGCCAATTTCTGATTCCTTATTGTTAGTGTTCTATTCTTTGATTCTCCACTAGGTGTCAGCAGTTATTCCTTTTTTCAGTTTTTCTTTCCATCAAAAAGTTATTTTTGTTAGATATTTTTATAAATTCATCATAATTTTTTTAGGGTATAATCTTGACAGTTTTTTAGTTCCTAGATTTGTCCAAACTTAAATATTTTAAATCAAATTTTAGTATATGTCTTTCAACCTTTTATGTTAATTTGCCACTTCCGTCTGTAAGGGAATAGGGATATAATCCTCTCCCTTCACTTCTGGAGGTTTTCTTGCCTTGGGGATCTTTCCAAGGATTTAAATAGTAGATAGAAGAAAGAAGATCAGTACTCTCACCAATTCCAAGCACGCTGTTCAACGATGTTTAAATCTGTGCTCTGGGACTTCGGCTGCAAGCAGCTTGGGCTAGATGCTGATCTCACGTTAGCCTTTCTCCTGTCGGGTTCAGAGGGCTTTCCCCGGATCAAATGAAGCTGTTGCCGTCGCTTCATGATCGACGGGGTGCCCATCCTTCACAGTCACCTCTCCGGGGCAACTTTGGACCCATCTAGGGTCCCCCCAGCAGGAAGAAACTTGCCGTGGGGAGCAGAGGTCCGCTGTCACGTGGCCATGCACTGCAGATGCAAAAACCGGAAGTCTCCAAATGTAATGCTTTTCATTCAGGCTTCAAAATTTTATTTTGATCTCATCTGCCCACAAAACATACTTCTAATATCTTTCTGGCTTATCCAATGTTATTTTGCACATTGCGTAGGGGCTGCAATGTTCTTTCATAAAAGTAGTGACTTTGTCCTTGCAATCCTTCCATGTATACCATTGTTGTTCATTGTTCTCCTGATAGTGGGCTCCTGTCCTCTGACATTCGCAAATGCAAGATAGGCTTTTAGTTCCTTAGACGTTACCCTGGTGTGATTTTGGTTGGTTGATCACTCCTGAGAGGGTTGAATTGGCTTCATTTGTGCATAATCTGCCTGATAATGGACTAGTGGGTTTTAACTCCTTGTAATAGTTTTGTAACCTTTTCCAACCTGGTGAGCATCAACAACTGTTTTTCAGAGGTCGTCAGAAATCTCCTTTGTTTGAGCAATAACACACATTTCCGCATAGCTGAATTGTGAAGTTCAGACTTTGGTAGCAAACACCCAGAATTTTTTTTATTTAAATAAGGCAGCACCCACCACCCTCACACCTGTCATCCTATTAACTGAAACACCTGATTCTAATTTTCTTTTCAAATGAACTGATAATCCTAAAGATTCACATACTTTTGCCACAACAACTATGTCACTTTCTACAATAAGTAAATGAATAAGTACATATTTCTTGATTCCTTTGTTTAATTGGGTTTTTTGTATCTACTTTTAGATGTTATGTGGAGAACAGATCCCATTTTAGGTCAATGGGCAGCTATACAAATATGATGAATAAATAAATAATAAATAAAATTCCAAAGACTTAAAAACTTTTAGTTGTTATAGAATTATTGCAAATAAAATTTCAGAGTGAGAGCTCAAGTATCTTCAAGATAATAAAATTGACTATATGGCCTTCAGTGATGGGGATATTATAGCAATATTATTTTGAAATTTTCTTTCAAATGTAGTAAATAAAAGTTTATCAGTTTTCTATTGTGACATTTCTAGCGGAGCTATTGATCTATCTTTCACTCTTATATTTTACCCCCTTATAACAATTTAACAAATAGACAGCAAACATTTATATGAAGAAATTATTTGCTACAAATATTGATCTGAAAATAATATAGGTTTATGGCAAGCTAAATATAAAATATCATTACAGCTCTATGTTGTGCTGATATGACTTTCCTCTTGAATAGGGGCTTTTAATTGAGGTCCATGGATTGCTTGGAGGTCTGTGGATTGATTTCAGGCAGTCTGTGATATTGGATCAGAAAAACAAATACATTTTTATTTTTACTAATTTCTACTTGTCTTATTATTAAGTTAATGAATTATTAAAGACTATATGTTATATATTTATCATTTTGAATATTTTGATAACTGTATTTGAGCATAATCAATTTCCTTTATAAAACAATCTGTATTGTGTGTTTTATTTTATAATTTGAATACATTTTTCTGGAAAGTCCATATACTTTGAGAGTCAGTTTTGCCTGACTTTCAAAGAAGTTCATTACACAGGGGTTAAGAAAGCCTGCTCTGAATGTGATTAGTTACTGTTCAAATATTATAATTTCTTACTGGTGGATTAAAAAAAATGTCTTTATAACAGGGATGAAGAATTCTCAGTGTGTTCTGTGCTGGCTTCTGATGTCATCCATGCAAACCGAAAAGATATTCCCTGTATTTTTAGGGTAAGTAATACCCTAATACAATTGCAACACAAATTAGAAAATTAATTGTTCTTATATTCATTTTTTAAAAATTAATGGACATTTCTCTATTTGTTAGTCAGTGTGGTTTTTGTGGATTCCTTTGAAATTTCATATTTTTATTCAAGCTTTATATTTTAAAATATAGGAATATCAACAAAGTCTGATTTTAATCCTCCAGAAATGATGCAATTAATTTAATTAGCCTTCACAGTTTTTTAAAAAATGCTATACAGATCGTTCTTGACGTACGACAGGACACTTAACAAATGTTTAAAGTTACAATAGATACCCCAGAATTACATAGGACCCTGTTTCAAAGTTACAACTACTGCAGCATCCCTGCAATCATTTGTCCTTATGACCAACCACAGGATGCTGCAGCACCCCCATCTGTCTACCCCCATCCCACCCCACTATGATCCCACAATTTGTGGTCCTGCTCGCCTCACACCTATCACCTAGCACACTTACTTTCTGAAATTCATGTTGGTGAAGAATGGCAGGCCCCCTATCCCTGGCTGTGTGCAGGTAACCATCATTTTGTCTCATTTGCTTGTGGGCTGGGACAAAATGGTAGCCACCAGACAAACTGCTTTGTTTTGCTGCCTTAGCAAGGTCTCCACAGTGCTGCAGAAGCTTCTGAATGCTGCAGATAACTTCTGCAGTGCTATGTAGACCCTGTTTAAGCAGCATAATGAAACAGTTTGTCCCTTGGCTGCATGGCTGAATATGGCCGCCATTTTGTCCTCCTTACTTGTGGACAGGGACAAAATGATGATTGCCAGACAAACTGCTTCATTTTGCTGCCTTAATGAAATCTATACAGCACTGCAGAAGCTTCCTAATGCTGCAGAAAGCTTCTACAGCGCTGTGCAGGTCTTGTTAAGGCAGTAAACAAAGCAATTTGTCCCCAGCCTTTGTGATAGTAACTCAAATGCAGCTGCTATTTTGTGGATAGGACAAAATGGCGGCCACTTCCGGAACCACACCATGCAGCTGCACAAAGGAGCAATCCATTTCACTTCTCTGGAAGGACTCAGAACTCTTCAAAGGAAGAGTTTGGCCTGATGGGGTGGGAATCATGCAAAGGCATGAGGGGACCTTGTGGAAGTAGAAAAAGCCCATGAGATAGGAAGCAGAGCACAAGCATCTCAGGGGTGGGAGAGGCCTTGGGGGGGAGAAAGGCAAGGCAGATCTCCCCCACCTGAGGCACCCTGTTCTCCACTTAACAACCATTTATTTAATGATTTATTAGGGAGAGCAGACATGTGGAGGTTGTTAGGTGAGACGCTTCACCTAACTACCATTGCAACATCTGACTATAATGGGCAAGCTCCATTACGATCATATCTCAAGAACTATCAGTATACAAGCTAATATTTATATTTTTAAAATCAGATTTTATTCATAGTTTTATCCTGTCCATTTTGTCTTCATTACAGTTCTTTTACAGAAACTGATACAGCTTCATCACTGGGTAAACAGTGATTTGAACTGGGGTCATTCACTATGCATTTTTTTTGATGCCTCACTAACTTTCATTGGTCTTTTGTAATTTATATTTGATGTTGACTTCTTAATTTATTTACTACAAAATAGTTACATTGAGGGTATCTTTTGAATACATTGAATAAATGTATTTATTCAATAAATAAATGACATTGTTATTTATCAAAGAATCTCACTTTTTAGTTACATGTATCTATAACATTTCCAGGTTTCAGCTTCTCAGCTATTAGCATCAAGTAATAAGTGTTCAGTCCTGATCCTAGCTGACAGTGAAAATGAAAAGAGTAAATGGGTAGGAGTCTTAAATGAATTACATCGGATCTTAAAGAAGAATAAGCTCAAAGATCGCTCAGTCTACGCTCCCAAAGAAGCATATGATAGTACCTTACCCCTTATTAAAACTAGCCAAGCAGCAGCAATTATAGGTATGTATTTTTAAAGACATTTTACAGATTTCTTATTTTAACTATGAAGTGTTAATTCATACTGGAATTTTGAAGCAATGTACCACATTTGCCTGGCAGGAATTTGCCTCTGAATTTAAGAAACAATTGGAGAAAATTGTAAACACAAAAATAAAGTTAATCTAGAATTACTAAATCCAGTGAAATCTGCCTCTCCCCCTAACAAATGTCATACAAACTCAATCTGTACTCACACACACACACATAGATCTTCCACAAGTCTTGTTCTAAAAAAGGAAAGGGCAAGGGCAAAAAAGTAAATCCATATTAATTGAATGAATAACTAATACTGTAGTACCTTGGCACTCAGGTTTAATTGGTTCTGGGAGGTGCCGTGAGTACCAAAAACAATAAGTACCAAACAAATTTTTCCCATAAGGAATAATGTAGTGAGTCACAAGGCAGCTGACACCAAGATGTTGTAGCTTGTGCATAGAATACCAAACAAATGTTGAGTACTGGACAAGTTTTTCATGTCAAAATGCGTTGAGTACCAAATTCAATGAGTTTCTAAGCCAGTGATGGCGAACCTTTTAGAGACTGAGTGCCCAAAAACTGGCCCTGCCCCCACTCCTCCCCCTGCCCTTCCCCCACCCCACCTGCCCGCAGGGCCATTCACCACCTCCAGGGCCCACCGCAGATCGCCCAGGCAGCCCAACAGCACCATTGCGGCCATGCCCTCTGCCCACGCCCCGCAGCATCAACTGTGTGCAATGGGGTGTGAGGGCAGAGTCTTGTTCACGCTGCCTGGCTGCCATGTCCTTGGCTGCGCTGCTCCGTGTGGGCCATGCTCGGGGGCGACTCTCCTCCAGGGGGATTGCTGGTGAGGAGGGGGTCACAGGAGGAGGCAAGGCTGGGGCAATGGCACATGTGCCCACAGAGACGGCTCCAAGTGCCACCTCTGGCACCTGTGCCATAGGTTTGCCACCACTGTTCTAAGCAGTTGAGTACCAAGGTATCTCTATATTAAAATTGATTGCCTGTAAAGTATCATATCTCATTTTTAAAGTTGATTTTCCATTTATGTACACAAATCATGTTTTCTGTACATTCACATGCACAGCCCTCCCTTCTTCTAGCAGGTACTGAAGGAAAAAAAGGAATGGAGATGAGCTGAGGAAAAGCAGTAAATAAAGTATTAGGAAGGGAAGCACAAGGGAAAATATAACTGTATGGATAAGAAAAACATGGATGAAGTAATTGACTAGTGAGGAAAGAAAAGTGAGAAGTTCTTTTAGGACTTTCAAAAATATTTAAATTCATCAAGCAGCATCCCTTTCAAAGTACCTGGTAATCTTCAGAGACCTTTTTACTCAGCAAATGTAAAATTATCCTCCCATTTATAAATATTTGGAGAAAAAAAACCTTGTGTTCTTTTCAGATAAATATGATAATTTAACAGCACAAGCCTTTCTCTTAATGTTATGTAAAAAGGACATAAAATATAATGTAGACACTAATAAACAAATCTATGCATATCTCTCAGAATTATATTAGGTTTGGGTCCAGGTAAATGAGCAGTCCGATGTTTTAGATTTCAATTCCTGTCGGTCCTAAGCAAGGTATCCAATAATAAAGAAGCATTGGAGCTTAAAATATTGGGGAGATACCAGGTTACCAGTCCATATAGACTAAATGGCCAAGATAACATATCATCTAACGGAAAACTGGTAGTTTATGGAGTGGAATAATGATAAAGATGATGAGAGGTATTGTGAATTACAAAACTATTTAATATGATAAAAAAATGGAAAGCAAAATGGAAAATAATTTATGAGTCAAATAAATTCTAAAATTTTGGAAATAATATTTTTCTTTGATTTGTAAATGTGTTACACTAGTTAAAAGTGTGCATTAATTTTCTTTAGGCATTTTTAACCTTTCACCTACTTTGAATTTTGAACATTTATGTTGTTTAGTTATTACAGGAATCCCAGAGATATTTTTTTTTCATTTTTATTTAAAGGCAAAATGAAACAATTAATAGTATCATTACACTTTGTAATATTAAATTGGTTTCAACTATCTTGGTATCTGATACTTGTTTTTCCTTATACAATGTGTGTTTCAGTTATTTTTTTTTTTTCTTTTTCATTTTTAACTGTTTCAGATCATGAACGAATAGCTCTGGGGAATGAAGAAGGGTTATTTGTTGTTCATGTTACAAAGGATGGTAAGAGTATTAGATTTATATTGGAAAAGTGAAAATTCAAATAAGATGTACTTTTTATTTCATTCGGTGTGGCCTAATGGTTAAGTTGTTGAATTAATACTAGGGAGGCTCAGATTCAAGTCCACCCTCAGCAAAGGAAACCTACTCAGTGACTTTGAGAAAGTCATTTCTTTCTTATACCAAACTACCAAGTTATTACTATTGCCATAAAAAATGGAAAAGGAAGTGCCATGTACATTGCTAAGAATTTCTGCTTAAAAGATAGGGAAGATATCTAGCAAGCATTATAAATTCTCATTCTGTGATTTATAACTGAATTAAGAAATATTAACTATGCTATAGTGTTCAAATTTTCCCTGTTTCCCTCTATAGGTAGTCCTCAATTTACAACCATAATTGAGCCTGAAATTATGGTCATAATTTGTTGTGATCATAAATCGAGGCATCAAATGACTGATATTTTTGTGTTAAGCAAATCCATTCTCCCCCATGGGCATTTTTTGTGAGAAATTGACAAAAAACATTGGAAATTACAGTCATTGATCATGGGATGCTGCAAATGGCCATAAAGATGAGCCAGTTGCCAAGCTTTTCAAATGCGATCCCATCATTGTGCAGGATGTGTCGACCATAACTTCAAAAACAAATCATAAATAGCTCTGGAGATATTTGTCATAACTTCCCAAATGGTCATAAGTTGAAGACTACCTGTATTTAAAAACTCTTCAGTCTGTGATATGTCAGAAGATTGAAAGTCAATAGTTTTGCATTTATTTGTTCATTTATTCAGTATATATGACCACCCAATTCAAACATAGGGGCAGCTGACAAATATTATTGCTGTTGTTTTTTTTTAATGAGGAATGGCATGGTGAATATGAATTAGATGAAATAATTAAAAACAGAAATAAAATGTTCAAAATGCGTAGATAAAACCAAGCATAACCCATCCAATTGTATAACAACAGGCACAACCTATCTAAACATTATATGGTTTTGTTTGGCAATGGATAGATGACACAATTTTAATAGGAACTATGTAGAACACAGAAACACAGCATCCATGAGGCAGGGAAGGGAAGCAGTATAAAGAATGTAGAACTGACTCTGGGAAAAGAAGGTACAAACTTCCTTTTTGAGGACACTTGAATAGACTCCTATTCAAAGGTAATTACCCTGATAGGAAAAAAGTCAAAGGCAGACTTTTGAAAATGCAAATGGGATACAATGATTCTTAGAAGAAATTGTTAGTGGAAAAAAGCAGTTTGGAAAATAAGTTTGTAGACTCAATAAGCAAGAGGAATACTATAGATTTGAGCACACTTTTTATATTCTAAGATAATTTTTTGCCACCTTTTATTTTCACAGAGATAATTCGTGTTGGTGACAATAAGAAAGTTCATCAGATTGAGCTCATCTCAAATGAACAACTTATTGCAGTGATTTCAGGACGAAACCGTCATGTACGACTATTTCCTATGACAGCTCTGGATGGTCGAGAGATTGATTTTTATAAACTGGCAGAAACTAGAGGTTGCCAGACCATAGTTTCTGGACAAGTGCGCCATGGAGCCCTTTCTTGCCTGTGTGTAGCAATGAAAAGACAGGTCCTGTGCTATGAGTTAAATCATAGCAAAACACGCCATAAAAAGATAAAAGAAATCCAAGTAGCTGGGAATGTCCAGTGGATGGCTATCTTTAGCGAACGGCTTTTTGTTGGCTATCAGTCAGGATTCTTAAAGTACCCTTTGACTGGAGAAGGAAATCCACATAGTTTGCTTCATCCAGATGATCACACACTGTCGTTCATTACACAGCAGCCAACTGATGCTATCTGTGCTGTTGAAATCTCAAATAAAGAATACCTGCTGTGTTTTAGCAGTGTAGGGATTTATGTGGACTGTCAGGGTCGAAGATCTAGACAACAAGAACTAATGTGGCCTGCAACTCCTTCTTCTTCCTGTAAGTCTCTGCAATTACATTAATTAAGTAAAGGATTGTTTTTCCTCATGGCTTGAAGTCGTTCACAATATTTGAATAACACTGTGTAATTAATCAAGCAGTTAATAACAACAAATTGTAGGAGATGCGATACTGAAACATAAATAACTTTTTAACAATGAGCTACAACATAGATGTCAAACTCACCACATCACGTGATGTATTGTGATGTATCGCAACTTTTTTTGCATTGCTGGAGCTGGGGTGGGGGCGGCCTCCACATGATGCAACCGGCCCGTGGACCGGCAGTTTGATACTCCTGTGCTATGATAATAATCCATTTGTTGTAATATTGTGATGTTATATCTTGATCCCCCCTTTCCTTCTTACCCATGTATTTCCTCTTCATTTATTTTTTAGCACTAATATTATTTGGCAAACCATTATGACTTTCCTCCCAGAAAAGAATCATAGGTTTTGAAATAAGTCTCTAGGTTGGAGGAAGCATGATTTGCCATCCATCATGGGAATTTATTATATACTGCTTCTAGAATGAATGCAAGGAAAGTTCTATTGATATAACTAACTATAGTTACCATAGCTGAAGTTAATTACCACAGTTAAAGCTCTCAGTATAGTGATAAAAGAGCATACTTAATAAATTGCTACTAGTGATAGGTATATTCTGCTAATAGGAAGATGCTAGAAGGTGTGATATCAAGTAATGCTGCATCAGTTCTTCAAAAAATATCCATAACCTCAGAAAAATACCCCTTTGCATATGTATATCTGTATGTGTGCACATGCATGTGTTTATATGTGTATTACACATTCACGTACCAACCATTACAATTATATCAGTTTATATTAGAATTTGGTTTATTTAGTTAACTGCTCATTTCTGAATGATTACTGGTTGTACATAATTTCAATGTCTTGGAAACTGAGGTAATATTAGACTAGCAAATATATGATTAATATTTGATACTGTTTTATTTCTTAGCTATAGTTAATGGTTTATTCTTTTTCCCAAAGGCTTCATTTTAACATTCAGTGTGGCTAATCATATAATGTGAACATAGTGAGAGGCAATTGACCTACAGCTTATTTTCAACAAATATTAAAACAGATAGGTAGACACCAATAAAAAAAACTAGGCTTATTTTCAACCATAGAAAATGTACTTCTAATTTAATTACAAGTGGTATATGCTAAAAGTGATTTCCTTACCTGTCATTTTTCAACCCAATCTAACGTATGTCCGTAAGGCATTATCCAGACATATATCTGTGTTTCTTCCTAGGTTACAATGCACCATACCTCTCTGTTTATAGTGAAAATGCAGTTGATATATTCGATGTGAACTCAATGGAGTGGATTCAGACCATCCCCCTCAAGAAGGTAACTAATGAATTATACAGAAAATTAAACAGTTTGGACAGGTTATTCATAATATGAATTAAAATATATATTGAGTTCCATCTGGATTAAAATATTAAAATATTAATCTGATGAAGTAGGAACGGGGACAACCACCCACCTTCAGGTTTACAATGGAAACTAATTAGGTATGAGGCAACTACTCATCGAAGCTGCTTCAGAGTGCTTCTTTTTGTTGCAATAAAAAGAAGAGAAATGTTTCAAGCACTTGGAATTCTTAAAGAAAAGACACTCTGAACAGTACAATACATATATGTCTATTAAATATTTTTTAACATTTCATCAGAAGGAGTTTGGTACAATTTTTTTGCCTAACATTTTTTATTAAAAGAATAATTTTGTGTGAGCTGCAGCTCACTTCATCAGTGAGTGGTTAAACTGATGTAGGACTTCAGTTGGAGAGACATGGAGGTGAGAAAGGGAAGAGAAAACAAATTGGTTATGCAGATGCAGGTGACATTAGAGATAGTTTACAACTATCTTATCAGTTAACAGTTGTGATATTTCAAACCCCACCAAGGTCCTCCTGAATTTTTGCCATCATATTCATGTATGATGTATGATAGTTTATACTGTTTCACATTTTCTTCATATCTTTTTGCTTTTTTTTTTTTACACTTTACATTTTTTTAGGTACGTCCTTTGAACACAGAAGGGTCGCTAAATGTCCTAGGACTAGAAACTGTTAGATTAATTTATTTCAAAAATAAGATGGCAGGTAAGTAAAAAACAACAACTGCTATCTACATTAATTATTGTTCATTTAGACATTAATAGAATGCTGATGCACTGAATGCAATCCAAGTAGCCTTTCCTCAGAAGCATTTCAACATAAAATTTGTAAATGGTGCAGTTCCCAAGGTTTTAAATATAATTAAGAAACAAATGGGCTAGCTAATCATTTTAGGCTAAAACTTTGAAGTAGAAACCAGTTACTCCATTTAGATTTCTCATATTATTAGCACTTCAGATATAATTGAATTTTAAGTCTATTACAGGTAGTCCTTGATGATGGAGTCTGGAATTTCCATCATAAATCATGACAGTCATAAATCGAGGCACTCAAGTGACCAAACATGATTTTATGACTTTTTTTGCAGTGGTTGTTAAGCAAACTCCATGATTGTTAAACAAATCAATGTATTCCTATCAACGTTTTTGCCAGAAACCGGCAAAAAACAAACTGTAGTCGCATGACCATGGGACAATGTAACTGGCCATAAAGTTGAGCCAGTTGCCAAGAGCTCAAAATCTAATCATGTGACTGCAGAGAAATTGTGCACCTGTCTGAATTGTGGAAGCAGGTAATAAGTAGCTTTTGGCAAGTCCATAATAACTTTGAATGATTACAAGCAACTGGTCATAAGTCAAGGACTATCAGTAAATTTTGTACTGATTTTGTTACCACTGAGATTTTTAAAGAAATTACTTCCACTTCTTCAAATATGAGATATATTAATACTTCCTAAAATTATAGATCCAGATCTTTGAACTAAATAAAACTATTTTAAATGCAGTGGTTTGGATGTTTGTAGCACTGCAGAGTTCCACTCAGAATGCTTCCATTGACAAAAGGGGGCAATTATTTCAAATTCTTCCTTCTAGTAGTATTTATCTGCAACTTACTTTCAGATTAAAAATTAACTACAGATAGAGAAATAAATCATTGAGTCAGCATTGGGAATTCATGCTTCTTGTGTTTTCTTGCCGCTTCCCAATAAGTGGATGATAGGCAATGTTTCAGTCAGCATCACAGAAGTTTCAGCAGGCAAATCTGGTAGTTAAAGGCTAGGAAGGACTATTGCTTGAGTAAACTTTTCTGTCTCACAGTCTCCTAGAAAAACGTTCCTATTTCTTTTATTTTACACTCTCTAAAAATAAACATTTCTAATACCCATTTATTTTGTATAATATGCCAAATATTTTCTGTATATCACGTCTACTTTAAGCATCAAGTTTTTCTTAGAATAAATTCTGAATGCAAGATTAACTCCACAGTAGGTGCGAACACAGAAGTGGAAAGCTTTACTTTAGCCTTGTTTCAATGATAGTTCTCACCACCACCCAGTTTTGTCCATGGATCTCAGAACAAGATAAATTTGCCTCTGAACTTACTTGCTTACTTAGAGATGTACAAGTTACATACCGTAATAAACCATGTGGGTTGCAAAAAATGGTCAGTTGAAAAAAAGTCAAACATCTACATTTCTTTCAAAGACAGGATTCTCTGTATTTTTTTATTTTTCAAGCTTTTAATGAATGTTTGCAGATAAGATATAATTAGCATATGCTTAAAATCATAATCTTATACTATGTATTTATATTGTTCCATTGTTTTAGCATTAGCAGTTATCCCTAATTTAGAAAAGTTTTCTATAGTTAGCCTTCTGGAGAGGGGGGGGAAAAGTGATCCTGCTTGGATTTTTATGTTTTTCTTAGAGGGAGATGAGTTGGTGGTTCCTGAGACATCAGATAACAGTCGGAAGCAAATGGTCCGAAATATTAATAATAAACGGCGCTACTCATTCCGGGTGCCCGAGGAAGAGAGAATGCAGCAGAGAAGGTCGGTATTCAACCTGTACTTGTCTTCTGTCCATGCTTGTAGACCCTGAAGACTTGTTGTGTCCCGTCGTTGTATTTTTTGTTTGTTTGATTGATTGTTAGAAAAAAATGGATTTCTGGGCAATGCGTTGAAACATTTGTCTTTTCTGTTATATATTATGCTTTATTTATATTATGTATAACCCAATACTTAAATTTGTTTTAATTTAAATATAAATGCAAAAGAACTATTGTAAATTGGAATGCATGTCTCCAACTACTGTACATAAGTACATTTGTGTGTGCATGTGTGTATATACTGTATATATGACTGATAATAATAAAGTTTTACAAAAGAAATTTATATTGCTAATTATGAATATATTGTCCAGTTTTGATATTCTCTTTTTTGCACAGTTCCTATCTGATTCTCTGTAATATTCCCCAGTGCTCTGATGACAATTATTTTTCAAATTTTGTATAGTTTTCAGGCAGCAAAAGGGTCACCTTGGAAGATAGCATTCAGACTATTATGAAAATATTCAGAAAGGATTCTGATTTTTAAGAAAATACTTTCAAGAAATATGGAGTTAATGTTTCAGCATTTCTCATGTATAGGCTGTGCTGATAAAAGTTTGTATACAATTATGGGAAAACATGGAAATAATTGAATTTGCTTGTTTTCAAGTTAGCATTTTTTTTTTCACTACTGTTGAGGCTTTTTAAGACCTATTTATTAGATAACCTATGATTAGAACCAGTTTTATGCTGTCAGGTTTTCTAAAATTCTCAAGAATTTTCTTTTATATCCTACAACACATTGGCAAATTTCTCTAAAGCTCTTTAAATTATTGTAAGTGTAACATGTGAAGAGTAGTGCTGTATTCTTCTAATCCTTTTCTTTTCTTCTGTCCTTCATCTCTGCCTCCATCTTTGCAGCATCCGATCATCACTGAGCCCACTTCTACACCTTTTCTTGAATGTTGTCTCAACTCCCTCTCGTAGTGCACTCTGAGACCCAGTAACCATTTGGACTTTTTTGTGAACATGGGCTGTTAAGCTTTTAAGCCAAACCTCTGTTCTTCCTGACCTTTTCCCTTCCATCAAGCTAACAGCTGAGATAGAAATTACTTTTCTTTTAAAATTTAGCCATATAAATGGCTATTTGTTTTCTGTTGTGGAATAATTTTTATGAATAGTACATATTTACTCTTTCTGTTTACAAATAGCCACTTCAACATACAATGTCTGAATATTTTCTTTTGCAGAGAGATGCTGCGAGATCCAGAAATGAGAAATAAATTAATTTCTCACCCAACTAACTTTAACCATATAGCACACATGGGCCCAGGAGATGGTATACAGATCCTCAAAGACCTGCCTATGGTAAGCACAGTCTGACATATAACAAAAGCGAAATGAATTTGTCTGAAATGTGATACAAATAAAATTTATTAATTGATTTTCTGCCCTATCACACTCTCACAATTCTCAGCAATTTACATACGTGCAAAACTTTAAAACATCCATAGTATGAATAAACAATACAAATAAACAAAATCACAAAGGGAAAAAAAAATCACATTTACACAAAGGGAAAAAACAGACCAACCTATCAAAAATAGTTCCATAAAAAACAGAATAGGAACACAAGTTAAGATAGGCAAGAAAATGATAAGTGAGCACCTGTCCAGCCTAGATGAGTTCAAATCACCAGGACCAGATGGATTACACCCCAAGGTTCTCAAGGAACTGGCAGATGTGATCTCAGAACCACTGAACTGTTTTTTCAAAGATCCTGGAGCACGGGGGAACTACCAGAGGACTGGAAAAGACCTGATGTACATCTACAAAAAAGGAAAAAAATGGACCCAAGAAATTACAGACCTATCATCCTGACCTCAATACCTGGGAAGATCCTGGAAAAGATAATCAAACAACGAATCAGCGAACACCTAGAGGCAAACAAAGTCATTACTAAAAGCCAACATGGGTTTGTCAAAAATAGATCATGCCAGACAAATCTTATTGCATTCTTCGACCAAGTGACAAAATTAATGGATCAGAGGAATGCTGTGGACATAATTTACTTGGACTTCAGTAAGTCATTTGATAAAGTAGATCACAACCTACTACTTGACAAGATAGAAAAATGTGGGTTACACAGCATCACCACCAGATGGATCCGTAGCTTTTTTTTCAATTGCCTCCTTGCAATCATCTGCTGCCCCTGATGACTATTTACTTATCACAGCTTTCCCTAACCCACTCTAACCCTGCCATTGTGTTTCCCCCAATTTCTCATCATTCTTCAGTAACCTGGCTTATAATTTTTAGCATATCCAAATCAATGGGATGGATTGCCTGTGCTTATTAATTAGTGAGCGAGTCAGTCAAGGTCTTCTCTAAATTCTAACCTGGTCAACTTGCTGTTTTATATGACTTTACCTCTTAGCTGTTTCTGACTTGACTGTCTTTCTGTTGCAGAACCTTCGGCCTCAGGAAAGTCGGGCAATGTTTAGTGGTTCTGTCAGTATCCCTTCAATCACAAAAACCCGGATTGAGCCTGGACGTTCCATGAGTGCTAGTAGTGGCTTGGGAGCAAGTAAGTTGCTGAGCTTCACTTGGTGTCAGCCTCTTTCTCTATTTTCCTTGAGAAGGGTGTACTGTTACCTCTGTATTTGTCTGCTTTGTGAAGGATGTATTAAGAAAGAGGCAGACATTTTGGTGGTCAAGGATATACGACCTTAAGAGCAAAGGGAATTTAGTCAAGAATTTATAGAGAAAAGATCAGACATTCTCTTTGGAGAGAAAACAAATATGAAAGCAATGCAGACTTAATAATTTTAAAAGGCAATACACTGGGTTCATCTATTTTTTGTAAACAGTTCAGCTGTTTACAAGCAGTGTATTTGTGTTTGTTTCTTAGTTAACTTTTGGAACTCCCTATTATTGAGAAAATACGTGCTCATGTTGGGAAAACAGTTTTTGCCGACTAAGATTAGCACAATATTTCATATTTTAAAAAAGGGGAAATGTAATTGTTTTTGCCTATTTGTCATATTTCACTATTATGAAATATATCAACGTAGTATCTAGAATAAAGCCTCATAAACATATAAAGGGGTATTTTTATTTCATCTGAATATGAGAAAGAGCTGCAGAACTAATTACTAATGAAATTTAATCTTTTTAAAGAAATGAGCTGAGCCTGACTCCTGATAATTACATGGAAGTGCCCAGGGAGTTTTCTTGGCAACAGTAAAGAAGTGTTAGCTGTAAAACCACTTGTTACTCGGTGCATATTGTTGTAGAGAAGTATGAGGAAAGTTAAAATCATAGAACTTCCACTATTTTAATATTGTATGCTGGGATTAAATTGCAAAAATTTAATCATAAAAGTATGATGATATTTTATGAAAACAAATGTACTTCAATGCACGTATCATGTTTAACATTCTGTATTGTTTTTATTATTGGTGTATTGCAGTCATGGTATTGATGGAGGCCTAATCAGGATTGGCACTAAGAAATGGGGCAGTTGCGCCATACTTTCAGATATATTTCAGGGCTGCTGTTCATCTGCAATGAACTGTTATAGGACCAACATTTCCAGAAATGTTGACAAAATATTTGGGATTCTATGCTAGTGGAAGATGTTAAACCTTCCTTCTATACTTTACCCCACCTAGCAGTTTCTCCTTAACCAACACAGAGAGGTTAATTCAATACAGCATATAAAATTATTTTTACTCTTGCTGAAATGGAGGCTGGGATGGAAAAGGGAGAAGAGCCTTGATAGAAAGGAATGACAATGGAAAAACAAAACTGGCAACCATCAGTAGATCAAATAATGGTAAAGGGTGACAATGAATACTATGGGTTATAGTTCTAATGCTTTTACATGGTATGTAGTTAAATTCCTGGGTGCATTTCTAGGAACATCTGCACAAAATGGTAGTGCTTTGCGGAGAGAATTCTCAGGAGGTAGCTATGGAGCAAAGCGTCAGCCAATGGCCTCCCCTTCAGATGGCTCTTTGTCTTCTGGTGGCCTGGACCAAGGCAGTGATGCCCCAGTGAGGGAGTACGAGCGAGAGGTGGGTATAAGCTCCAGTTTATGCTTAAAGTAATTGAAAATCAGGACACATAAGTACTGCACTAGTCGATAATTGAAAGGGAAAGTATTACTCTGTAAACTATGACAAAAATTCTAATAACGTGAAATACATTGATATTTTTTTAGCAATAGCTAAATAACTTTCACACGTTTTAGATCACAGCACCATCACATCAAGCCTGATTTATGAAAATTACATACAACATATCTGTAAATCAACTGATCACAGAAGGCAGACCTTAAATCTTTGGATCATTTGGTCCAGGGATCAAGCCACATTGTAAACTTCTCAAATGGGCTGAATCCCCTGTGGAAACAACTACCAGCTAAAAAACGTTCTGTTGAACAAGCAAAAAATATTCCAAGAAACAGTTGGGGAGAATCTTGTTCATACAAGATTTTTCTTGTTACTGTTAATCAATTATTTAAAGTATGTTACAGAGTATAGTACAAACAAATTCAGGAAATTATGCAAATAAATAAACATTTATGTAAGTGTGATTATAGTATAGCATTTATAGGCATAGATGCAGATACAGGAAAATAAAAATTAAATCAGCAAATGTCCCTAAATATATTAATTTCCACTGAAGTCCCTAACAACTCTAGAAAAAAATGTGAGCTTTTACATTTGGCAGATTATGTATATAAACATCTGTTCTACTATATTAGAGACAGCATTGCAAGGACTCAAAACGTTAAGAGCCCAAAGAGAGACCTTCTAGAAAATTGCTTGTATACATGTATAATGTGCTGTTTATTTTCATCCCTCCCAATGTTTTTAGACCAGTGCACTTTGGGAACGAAATCAATAACGTTCTCTTGATAAGGTAGAATGGGCATTCTTCACTGCCTATTTTTGATAGGGCTGCTGGCCAGGCAGAGAAAGAAGAGGTAACCACTTGGCATTCCATTCCTTGTCCTTGTCCCTTGCTTCTATAGATTTTCAATCTTCCCTGTTTCCATTTGTGGCCGTACTGTTATTCACTAATATGTTCTCTTCACGTGTTTTGGGCTGCAGGACTCTGACTCTCCAAGGCACTCTACAGCTTCCAACAGTTCCAACCTGAGCAGCCCTCCCAGTCCCATTTCTCCTCACAAGACCAAGAGCCTCTCCCTGGAGAGCTCGGACCACGTGAGTTGGGACTCATGAACTGCTTCAGCACTCAGATTTGACATCTCAGCAGCTTCTGGTCCCCATGATTCTCCATTTGCTCTCATTCTCATCTCCTCTCAGCCTCCCTACAAGAATCAAACTGTGGGTGGGAGGGGGAGGAAGAGAGTGTAATTGCCATAATTGGCACCAGTAGCGCAACTCTCTTCCCCTCCTAATAGTAGCCAGCAAACAAAAGAAAATCTTGGTGGAGGGCAGCATGGAGTTGTTATATGAGAAATATTGGTATATTTCTATTATTATCCATTTTATTTCATAGGATTATGAAATTCCATTGTATGGCATATTATGCAATACACCACACTCCAAACAAAACATGGTAGTGTAGGATGCTATACACAGTATGTAACAGGAAACCAGATAGATTTGCCTTGGTACACGTAGACCCATATTATATTTTTTCAGGAATAAATACAGCAACACCCTCCATGTTTGGTGATAGGGTGAAATTTGCCCTGCTAAGGAAGATACACATGCTTTCAGACCGCTACTCTGAATGTCAGTCTGATTGCTGCCAGTAAATCTTATTGATTTGGGGAAAAATGATGCATATTTTACTATAATAGAGTTTAAGTAAATACACAAAATTAAGAGTTAGTACATATGTATATAATAAAAGAAAAAGCAGCATTATAATGCAACAGAAGATGGATTCCTATTTAAGAGATCCTTTAATTTAAAATGTGTGGTGTTCCTTTTTTCATACTAAATAATCTATGGATTGAGGGTGTGATCTGAATTTAGAATGGCACTGGATAAAAAACATACAGCCTAGATGAAGATTCCATCCTCACAATTTTTGCTCTGTGACATTTCCTCCTTATCAGTACAAAAATGAAAGCCATAATCATCATTTTAAATTCTCTCTGCCTGTTTTCCACCTGTTCTTTACAAGCAAAATCTATTGTTTACTAGTACACGGATGAGGTAAATTGAAGGGTAGCCAAACAATTATAGAATCTCCTCAGCTGAAGTAAATGCAAATAGAAATGAATGAGCTTTTGGAAGATTAGGGCTAGGCTTTCAAACCCATCTTGCCTTTTAATCACCACAAGCTCTTAAGTAACTTTCTTAGTTAACTACATTCACTGAATACAAGGATCATTCAGTCCGAAATAGAAGTTTGTAGCTTGTTCTTGATCATTGAAAGTTAACATGCCGCTTGTAAAGTTGTACTTTGCTAAATTATTCAAGACTTCTAAAGATTTTCATTGTGATCATCTGCTCACCCATCCTGGCCCAGAATGCCCATTGTCATTGATGTAGCATTCTGGCCGTTGAATCTAATAGAAAAAAACCTAATCAGATCATAGCATTTCTGTCTGAATAGTGGAGATCCATCGTCACCTAGGAAAACAATGGCAAAAACAACATGCAAATGAAGGGCAAAGGCAAACTCTTTTTTTTCCATGTTATTGAATAAAATGAGTACAGTTTGCATTTTCACACTAGATGAATGTGATTTTTCTTCCTAGAATCATTGCTTTTTAGGCTAGACCTATGCTCAAGTGGAGAAAATATTCACGTGGTAATTTTTTTTAAAAAAAAAAGATAATAGTTTCTACAGGTTTTATAATACATCATGGATATTGTCAAATAATTACAGTTAACATCAGTGGAAAAACAATACATCTGTAACAGTTTTCACCTCTAAAAAAATCATCAGCTACAATCATACAAAGTTCTGATTAAGTACTAGAAGATAGAGATCATTGTCTCTAATCTAAGTATATTCAGTTTGTGTCATTATTTGCATTTAGCTCTCTTATACTGGGGAAAAATTGGGAGTAGGAGGCAAACCTAAAACTTATACTGGGGAATAATTGGGAGTAAGAGGCAAAGTTAAAACTTTGCTATTAAGCATGATATCCTAAACCTATCTGTTGAATTGAGTTTATTAAGAATCTCAAAACTGTGTGCTTTGTCATGAGTTAGAAACGATAAAGATTTTAATTTCAGAGCTACCAGCTAAACATACTAAAGGAATTTCCTGCAAGCCTTTTCCAACTAATTGAGTCACAGCTACAAGAACAGCATATAAAATCCATTAGCTCTCATCACCTTTGACAGTCACTACTCCAAGATCCTGTTTCAACCCCTTCAGTCTTTCCTACAATGATGCTCTTGCCATTATCATTGCTCCATACCATGGCGAAAAGGTTAGCATTTCCTCCACCCATATTGGCTGGTGTTTTTTTTTTAAGGCTTCTGATTCTAGCTTTAAACTGCACCTGGCTTGCAGAATTATTGATTTCAGAAATGAACTTGGAAGCCCTCGACAAGTTCCATGGTGATAAGCTGTTTCGTTTGAAGACATAGTTGTCACACATGCAAACAAGAGCTAAGGGGAAGGAATCTGCAAATTAGAAATAATTTTACATAACATCAAACTATTTAATACATTTAAACACTATACTTTATTAGGATGTGTTAACTTGCAATACCAATATTGATAAGGTATTAGGTACTTTTTTCCAACTGTATCCAACACAAACACTCTTAAATCTCTGAAGTTAGCTAGTAAAATTGAGGTTTGTAGTGATGCATTTCTCACTTTTCATTCCTACATGATTCTATTTCTCCAGGCACTTTCATGTGCTCTGATTGAACCCTGACTAATTTGGTTAGGATCTCTTTTGAATGCAGCTTGAAGCTTTGCTGGCCCTAAATGAGAAGTTTGCTTTGAACTGATTCAGGCACTTCATTCATTGCCCTGTTACATTTATGAGGTTCAATAAATTGGATTGTAACTGAACCTCAGATGGTTCACCTCTTACCTGAGACTGTATTTTAAAATAGAAACAATTTATACACAACATTCATGTTTCTTTTCAGATTATATTCCTATTGTATAATTTTATTCTTCTGAATCAGTCTTTCATTAATGGCTTTGTCTAAAATTCGACTGATAGGCTATTTTGTATTCCTATTTATCTTTTTCTTTTCTTAGAACAGCAGGGGGGGAATTCACTATAACATTTATGTTAAACTCAGGTATTTGGAAACAGCAGAGTAATGTTTTAATATAGTACATATTAATGCAATAATGTACTTTTGGGTATGTGATTCACCAGAGATACATCTTAGTTGCAAACAAAACTTTTGTTCCAAAGTCCAAAACTTGGGAGATAAATTGACTTAAGGATGGTGGATGTTAAAAATACTTATGATTTTTCAGTTACCAGTTTTCAGGGACAACATTCACACGTATAAGAGCAGCATTAGCAGCAGAGATTATTCCTTTTTCCTTTCCTTGTCTGTTGTTTAATGAACAGAAATTGGCTTGTTAGAATTATACTACAGTTACCTCTTTATAACTGGGGTCCTTTATCTAGGTGCACAGTTTGGAGACCCCAGGACACGCATGTGCCTTCAGAGGAAAGTTACTGAAAGGCTCCTGGCAAAATCTAGCCCAAAGCAATAGGACTAATCAAGGCACTACCCTGTCACTTTCAAAGTGTCATCATTTGGACTTTCCTGAGAAACTAGGTTTGCAATTCTTCATCTACAGGGGGCCTTCAGGAATCAATTAGGGTTGGAGACTTTAAATTTTGGGGACCATATTGCAGGTTAAACCAATTCCACAAAAGTTTTTTTTTCCTTTCTCATTCTACATAAAACATACGTAGTCACACTGATGAGGAAGCAATTCACAACCAAAAAATGCCCTTGGTATTTAACAGAATTATACCTGCCTTTTTATGTACAATTTCATATCATTTATTTTTTAAACAAAGATATTTTTAGGGATTTTTTTCATTGTAATATTGTTGTACAGTTTTGCATGGCCTAGATGTAATCACTTTTTTTGTTTTGGTTTAGAGTATAAAAGCTGACAAGTGTGTGCGTGGGAGGGGGAAGTTTCTGCTTTGGCTCTTCTCACTTGTATTTTTGATTCATGTCCTCAATGTTGTAGAGGACATTGTAAGAGATTCTCTGCTCCAGAACAATGATGTAGATTCTATTGCACAGAAATATTTAAGGTGGATCAGTCAAAAGTGTAATAAGTGGCAACCACCAATATTTTACATGGATAACACTTAATATTAACCTACTTTGATGTATTGCAATAAAACAGGGAAATACTAGAAATTCAGATCGTTTTGTCTTCTTTTCACTTCCCCCTCAGATCAATTTTATATTAAGAGTGGGCCCATAAATTCAGCTATTGAGATCTTAATTTCTTACATTAGAAGTGCTGGACCAGAAAACTTTAGGAGCGGTTGCTCTCTTCCAAAGCATCTACTTAATTTAAACCATAGACTAATCATACTCTGCCATTCTGTTCTTGTTTCCTCGATACTGCTGAGGATAAAAACATTTAAGCTTGTCATATTTTTTCTTCAGCATGAGGTTTGCAAAGCAATGAATCCAGAATATTCTGTTTTGTGAATAGAGCTCAGACCGAACTTAAAAATGTACGGTCAATATTAATTGCTCTTATTTACTGATACACTGCAACAATCAAAAAGAAAACAGGAATTGATTATGCAACCATGTAGATGCAGCTTTTTAGTTAGGGAAAAATAGAGCAGAACTGTGAGGACCTTTTTTTGTTAAAACCTTGTCATCCCCACCCCAGCCCAGTTTCATCATAATGCTATTTGCCCAGTAGTTTTAATTTTATAGGAAATAATTAGGAAGGGGGTCTGATACAGTTGCTAAATAGCATGCACATTATTCCTGCACACAAAACATTCCTGCCATTTCTAAAAATGTGTGTCAGAAAAGCCCATGTCTTTTTGTATGGCAATATGATGATTCTAACATCAAACTCTGCTAGACCACTTTTTTTTTCTCTAGACAAAATCAAGAATACTGTCTTAAAAATAATTTGAATTCATGTAACTTACATAGTATTGATATTGTCTTTGACTGCTACCATGTCCTAATGAAGCTAGGGTCCAAAAACATTCTCTCCCTCAAGTAAAGATTTCAATGACATGCAGAATATCAATCAGGAGATGTTCAGAGAATTTCATGACAGCATCACTACAGTGTGTATTTCTGATTCGCTTTGACATAGACCTGTGTTTCACCGAATAGCTCTTCTTGTTTGGAAAATCATTTCACAGGTGAAAGCAAACAGAACCACTTGTGAACAATCCCAAACAGAAGTTTTATTGTTAGTCACCTGTGTTACAAGAATCTCACCAGACTGACTGCATTTCCTTGGGAACAGTCAGATTAAGGCTTCAAGCAGGAAGAAAGTCGTTTTCTTCTCTTGGCATTACATTTTTCAAATACATCAGTTTATTCCTTGTAAATGAGATTGTAAATTTGATTAAAGGCATTTGCATAATCGCATCTGGAAGAGTGATACTTTATACAGTAATAATAAATTCATCAAAAAGCAGATTCCAATTGGCGGTTAGTATTTTTGGTTTAACAAGCCCCTTGTCAGCTTTTTATACTCTTAGTAATGCTCATAATTCATCTTTTCACGCATTTCATCTCCCTCTTTAACTTTCTGATATTGCAGCATAGAATATAGTATTTTAAAATGTTTCCTGTTGAATGAAATTAAGACTAGTTGTTTATCCGAACAATGACCAGATTATAAATATTTTATAATTCACAAAAATCTATTCATTTTTCTATGATCTTTGGACTTGAATTCCATGATATCCTCTCAATGATATAACATCAATTGTGCACTATGTGAACAACACACAGTAAACAGCTCCAAGGAAATAAGATCAATTTATCTAAATGCATAGAAGCATCTGCAAAATATTTTAGGGAGCAAGAGAGAGGCTTAGGACCAATAAAACAATAAAATGACAAGTAGACTCCCTTCCACCCTTCTTGCTGATTTGACAATGAACTATCATACTGAAAGGCAAGTAATGTGAACCAATAAAAAATATCCCTACTATAGGTAGAAAATGACTAATTTATGCTTACAACTCCACCAGCCACACACATTCACAAATACACGGTATATAAGGAACTATAGTTAAATCTGTTCTAAAAATCACTTCGGTGCCTTAGGCAATAGGCCAAAATTGATGTAGATTGGAATAAATAATGGCAGACCTTCTAAAGCTCTGTTGTATTATTGGAAAGACATTTTTTAACAACTGATATATCCACAGCAAGACTCTTTCTCCATTATCCATTATCCTAAATTCTAGCAGAAAAATTGATTTAGGCAAAAGAAAGTGGGATGCATTCGTTATTATTGCCTTCCTGCAGGACTTATACTTTCTGGTGTAGCATAAAGGTATAAATTCAATTAATTTATTGTTAACACATTCAGCAACAGGATTAAGCAGATTTTCTTAAGCGGAAAATATTAAAGGTATTAGGTCAGAATTCAGCTAAAGAATGTTGCAGTTAAACTTGATGGTTTCAAAGCAAGCGTTTTCTTTGATTATTCCAGGCCACAGTGTAATTATGTGCCATCATTTTTGACTCCCAGCAACCACATAGATATATTTTCTCCAGGATGATCTCTTTCAGATTTGTGGCATTCATCACTACTATAATTGAATCCATCAACCTTGTTGCTGGTCATTCTATTCCTCTCTTTTCTTCTACCTTTCTCAGCATTAGACCTTTTTCCAAAGAGCTGAGTCTTTGCATAGTATGTCCTAACTAGTTTTGTTTGAACCTGGTTATTTGTGCCTCATCTGAGAACTCTGGATGGATTTATTCAGTGATCCATCAGTTTGTTTTCTTGGCTATACATGGTATTCTCAGGAGTCAACATCAAAGTTCAAAGGCGTCAAAATTCATCCTGCTTTTTTAAAGTTCAACTTTCCAACTTAAAAATCCAACTTTTGTTCTTTCAATTCTTTCTTATGTTCAGCCAAATTTTATTCTTGGTATAAATGGCAGTGTTTTTTGATACACATCCTAGGGAAGCATATAGTTTTCTAGAGATTTTGGACTTCAAATACTTTCAGTTCCAACTGCAGCAGGACCACAAGATCGTTGACAACAATTTCCTCTATTCTTTGTTAAGTGGGCATTGCACATCCACATCTGAGGCTTTCCAAGTTACTAAAATACCTCTTTTGGGAACTGAGTTAAACTTTGGGGTTAAATTAACAATTATTTTAGCTTATTTGTTAGCCAATTGTTTTGTTTCGTTTTACTGCAAAGATAGAAAGATGTCATATAAATTGAAAAATCAAGTTCAGATGAACACATGTAAATATCAAAATCTTCCTACTCAATGGGTAGTGGCTGCAGTTTATTTGGATTGAATTATGTCTACTAACATGTTCCTCCAACTGTTTAAAGACTGAAACAAAAAAAACAACAAGATCTTATCACTGAGTCAATTAATTCCGCCAACACAATCTTTTGCATAAGCACCTCTTTATTGCAAATAAGTTCAAAGTTGAACAGTTACAAAATGTCATTCATATATATATATATATATATATATATATATATATATATATATATATATATATATATATATATTAGTGTGTGTGTGTATGTATGTGTATGTATATATATACACACACACATATATGTATATATACATATACATGTGTGTATATATACATGTGTGTATGTATATATGTGTGTGTGTATATGTGTGTATATATATATATACATACATACATACATACACACACACACATACATACACATACATATATATCTTGCAAGTGTGTCCATTGAGCTATTTAAATGTAGACCATGCTTTTCAATGCAATTTTGAAACATAATTGATACTGAATATACATTTCCTGTCTTCATCAAAAGTTGCACTACCAAATATGAACATACAAAGATGGAGAAATTACAGTTTTGCTTCTGGGCTCTTATAAGTGCCACAGAGCTTTGGTTTCTCTAAATCTCCATTTAACGAGTAAACTCAATTTTTGAGAAAACCTTAATTACATTCCTTCTACTTAGACCTCAAAGAATCAAAGATAATCAACCAAATTTCAAAATAACATGTTCTACATACACCAATGAACTGTTTGTATCAGATTCTTTAAAATCCTCAGTTTTGTTGAGCACCAGAGACTCCACATATATATATTTCACACTGTTCTATAAGAAAATCCCAGCCATTACAGACTCCCACCAAATTACCATACAAAAATAAGGTTTTGTTGACATTCTATTCTTTGCAATATGAAACTGCAGAAGAAAGCCTTTCACCTTTGAAGAAAACTGAAAAAAACTTGAAGATGGGGAGAATAACATTTAAAGTACAAATAGATGTCTATGCCGACTCATTTTGATTTGTTCCACCTCAGTATTTTTTTCTTTAAAAAAAAGTCAACTCAGCTACCAATGTTAAAATATGAAAAAAAATGCCAAGATCTAGGACAGTATGAAATGCAGCTGTTCATTTTTGCCTCCACATCTTCTAAACTAGCAAACCACTATTTTTTATAAAATAGGAGATACACCTAAAATCTGGTGAGAATGTTGAGAGGAGCTGTACCCAACAAAAGCACAATTTCCTCAAAATTATTCTGCTTCCAGAAGATCATCTGTTGCATTGCTAAAGCAATTCTGGAGGCGTGATAGGGAAAAAATAGTACTGTGGTGTGCCAGAGCTTGGCCATATGATTGGGCCATATTCATAAGACAATAATATTTAATAGTTCTTTTGTGCCACTACTCATTTTTGGTCTTTTTACTCCAGTATTTACTGTAGGCTTCTTGAAACATATCCTTGCATGGAATTTTGGCCTTCAGCTTGGAGCATATGAGAAAAGAGCCACCCATTTTCCGATGAAGGGAATATGTCTCTTCTGGTGGAGGGACCAACCTGTGCTTCAGCATGACTGGAATTAAGCCATGTATCTTTTCAGTGGTATTTTGACAGCCAAAATCAAAAGGTTCACTGGATGCAAAAGCTTCTCCAAGAATAAGGACAGCATCCAAGTGGGCCTCTTCCATAGCCTAATTAAAAACAAAGCAAAATGATTATGATTGGCTACTTCAGTGTTTCCCAAACTTGACAATTTTAAGGCATGTGGACTTCAACTCCCAGAATTCCACAGCCAGCAAGCTGTGGAATTCTGGGAGTTGAAGTCCTCATGCCTTAAAATTGTCAAGTTTGGGAAACACTGGGCTACTTCAAGCAGGTCTACTGAAAAGAAAATGAAAGA